GTCACAGGATCACAAAAGTCATGCATCTTCTCTGGAGACCTTGGATATTGGTTTTTATTTCATTGGCAATCCATTTGATTTCAATTGGTTTCTGCCGCAAAGTATAATTTGAGTGTCAGCCGCAAAATATTATCCCCAGCAAAAGAACCTCAGTGCTAGATGGGTGTAGGAGGTTAAACAGTGTGAAAAAATACCAACCTATTGTATGTGACATTCAGTATACTGCATGCACATATATGTTAGGCTTACAGTTCTATGTGGGCACTTATGGTTTTCCTTGTTATGTCAGCAGAAGTGATTTTAATGAAGTTGAAGGGTGAGCCTAATCTAGAATGAGGTAGTAAAATGATGAGTGATTAGTATGTGCCCTCTTTTTTTACAAAATGACCATGGTGTTGGGTTACAATACCAAAAAACACCACCAGAGAGAGTCAATAAGCTGTGACGAGTCGTTGTGGTCCATTTTATATAACACAATTTTTTAAAACCAAAACCAAAATCAGTTGGCTGATAAACACAAACCTGTTCCCTTCTCCTACGCATTAAACACACACAGGCACACCTTCCTAGTTAATTGAAACACAAGCCCCTAAACTTAGGACACACCAAGCTCCTCTCTCACTCTCTCTTTCTACAATAATCCATGTTTTATTAATGCACATGACTAATTCAGCTTCTTTCCGGGAGTTTTTTTTGTGCTTTCTCGCCGAGCAGGTCTCCGTAGATCGTAGTTCCTTATGGACCCTGGTCCTGACACCTGCCGTGGCCCTGCTGACACCTGCTGCTGCCATCATCATCATTATTATTATTTTAAATATTAATCATATTACTATTACTGTCTTTCCTAAAGTCTTTGTGCTTTCCCTCCCCACAGGCTTCTGTGGATGGTGGTTGTCCCTGCAGTGGTCCTGCGACACCTGGCTTACTATTTTCAATTATTTTAATCATGTCTGTTATAGGAATTGAATGTATTGTACATATTTTACATTGTTCATTCTGTACACATGACATCCATTGTAGTCTGTCCATCCCGGGAGAGGGATCCCTCCTTTGACGTTCTCCCTAAGGTTTCTTCCCTTTTTTTCCCGTGGAAGGGTTGTTCATTTGTGTACAGACTGTAAAGCCCTCTGAGGCAAATTTGTAATTTGCGATTTTGGGCTATACAAAATAAAATGAATTTAATTGAATTAAACTGCACCCATCTGCTTGCGTGTATACAACAACCACAACAACAACATATTGCTGAATCACGGTGGAGCTCTTTATTCATAACATTTCTAGTCTTTGATGTGCAGATCTATCCCAGCAGGGGAGCAGGTTTGATTGCATTATTAGTTGCTATAAATTTGTGATTATTCTTCACCCCGTGATCTAGCACACAGGCAATATAGTGCCTATTTAATGGATAACAATTGTCTTTTGGTCTTGAAGAATGTCAAATTCCCGCAATGGGCATGCTTCTCAACAGCCCTTTGCTATTACATTTTGCTGGGCTTGTCACCATGGCAGCAAATTTTCCATCATCTGACATGTGTCTGTGCATGGCCCCACACTCACACACGCGCACACACACATGCACACATGCACACACAAACACACACACACACACACACACACACACACAGATTCAAATGCATGTTTTGTTTTTGTGATGTGGGAGGGTTGTACATAAGTCTTTGAGTGTTCTTCGGTCCAGCTGGTTCACTCCACATATGAACAAAATTCATATAGCCTGCTGTGACAGGAAGGGCAGCTGTGTCATGGATACAGCATATTACTTTTGCTTTTGCTGACACCTGCTGCTGCCATCATCATCATTATTATATTAAATATTAATCATATTACTGTAATCATAAACCAACATTACCCTCTCCTAAAGTCTTTGTGCTCTCCCTCCCCACAGGCCGGTGGTTCTATCTGATGGTGGTTCTATGTGATGGTGGTTCTATGTGATAGTGGCTCTATCTGATGGTGGTTGTCCCTGCAGTGGCCTGCTGTGCGCCTGGCTTACTACTCACAATTACTTGAATCATTTCTGTTATAGGAATTGAATGTATTATACATTGTTCATTCTGTACATGGCATCCATTGTAGAGATGGTGGTCGACTTGGTCGAGGACCTGGGTGTCGCCATCGACAACAGACTGAACTGGAAGACCAACATCAACGCCATCTACAGGAAGGGGATGAGTTGACTCTTTTTCCTGAGGAAGCTTCGATCCTTCCATGTATGCAGCAAGATGTTGGAGATGTTCTATCAGTCTGTTGTGGCCAGTGCTTTGTACTTCGCCGTGGTCTGCTGGGGGAGCAGCATTGGAGCCGGTGACACCAACAGACTTAACAAACTTGTTAAGAAGGCCGGCTCCATCATTGGCTGCAAACAGGACAGCTTGGAAAAGGTGTTGGAGGGGAGGTCACTGAAGACACTGTTATCCATATTGGATAATCCTGACCACCCCCTTTACCACCTGCTACAGGGACAGCGGAGCACGTTCTCCAACAGACTCCTTCAGTTCCGCTGTACAGGAGATCATTCCTGCCCAGTGCAATAACACTTTACAATAAATCATCCCAGGCTAAATAATGACAATAATAACCCTGTACTGCTGTGATGTTGCTGCTCTTCCTCTTCCTCTTCTCCTTTTACAAATTATAATTATTGTCTCTCTTGGAAGGTTATTCTTTTGTTTCAGTTTTAGTTTATTTAATTTAATGTAATTTAATATTTCTATCTTATTATATTGTAAATAATGGGTATCTTTTTACTCTTTTTTCTTCCCTGTACAGGCTGCTATGATACCAAATCTATCTATATAGTCTGTCCATCCCAGGAGAGGGATCCCTCCTCTGGCTTCTCCCTAAGGTTTCTTCCCTTTTTTCCCTCTTGGAAGGGTTTTTTCGTTTTTTGGGGAGTTTTTCCTGTGCCGATGTGTGGGTTTCGGGACAGAGGATGCCGTATGTGTACAGACTGTAAATCGATTTTGGGCTATACAAAATACAATGAATTGAGTTGAATTTAACTTTTCAAATACGTCCACATGCAACCTTTAAAGGGATAGCATGTGCCATTATGTGCTATTGTGCTAACTGTTTGTGCGTGCAAGCTTTTTTCTGACATATGTCACACTCCTGACAGATATGCTTGCCTTTGTTGTTGTACGGCGAACAAAGAGCCAATTTACTTATTTAGGAGATTAACTCATTGAAAGATGAAAAAACCCTCACATCGTTTCGAAACCATGTTCCATTCTCTCTGTCAACATTTCTGCATTGATGAAATATTTACATTTGCCGTTGGATTCTTATAATATAAGCCCAACTCTCAGTTATTTCTCCGTGCGGCGTCCAACAAGTTACTCTATCTTTAGACGTGTTGCAAAATGAAAGTGCTAACAATCCCCTGTAGACGTCCCAGGCACTTGACATCAATGCGCGCAAAACAAAATGAATACAGAGGAAAAAAAGGAGGTGATACCTAGAAAGGAGAATTGAGAGAGTGAGATGGAAGGATAAGGCAGAGCTGATATTCTTTCTCTAATAAAAGCGACAACCAGCCAATGTTGCTATGGCGACCTCCTCTCTCTCCCTTCCTTTCAGCGAGCTACCACTTATCCATGCAGCCTTTCAGTCAGCAGGGCATGTGGGTGTGTGTTCGTTTGTTTGTCGGCTCCAGAACGAATCAAGCAAATGAAGGAGAAAGCCATTAGAGAACCAAGTCAAGCTGCTCTCCACACAGACATGTATAAACATACAAAACAATATGCATTAATACAACATAATAATATCTAATAATAATCTTGGTTACTATACACCCACTCAAATACACACATATCCTCACTACCACTCGCTGTAAATGTGAACTACAATGAAAAGAAAAGATAAACATTACCAGGTTACTGAGTGTGTCTGTCATGTTGGTCCCCCATTAGCAAAGGGCCACTGATCATGAATGCTAAAGGTGAATTGTATACAACACAATAGAACCACTTTAAAACTGTAATTCGCTGGGTGTAAAATTATCAAGAGCTGTTGTAAGTATAGTAGTAGTATTGCACATCAAGAAGAAAGTCTCAAACTAAGCTAAACAAGCCCAAAAACTGCATTTTGAAAAATCTTTTAATAATCTCTCAGTGCTAAAAGGAAAAATGCATGTTTTCATGCAATTTCCCAGCTGCTACCATCATCATTTGACCCAATAAATACTCCGGCTTTGTTGACCTTTTGGGCCGATTCAATGTTTAATAATTTTAGAAGCACACATGAAATAAATGTTTAGTTAATGTATCTTTTATGTAAAAAAAGATAACTTCGGGGGATGGGGCAAAGCAACCGCCCACGCGTGAGGACCACCCCGTGGACCGCCCAATATAAAACATTTTGTTGAGAGAATCATTGCGATGCTAAATTTCAGGAAGACCTACAAGTCAAAGATGTAGCACTCTCTATGCAATGTGCACTGTAGGTTTTAATAATTTGGAGACTTTTCCACATTGAAGCTTAACAAAAATCAAATCGCAGTCTATTTATGATGTTAAGGCACACCGTAAAAACTGTTTTACACAATCATCAATTTAAAGGTACTGTTATAAGGACACAGAAATAACAACTTTCATCCTTTAAACTTTGTCTCTCTTGCTCCTTTCCCTTTTGCAATCCATGACCTGGCATTGTAAGCAGGTCGTTGATTCACAGACTATGGCGCGGAAAATAAAATGCCAGCAGGGGAAAAAAATATCCAGAAAAATCACACAGTGTATATAATAAGAGAGTGAATTTCTTTGCCTCTCTGCTTGTGAAACAGAAAGAGTATAGGCAACTGAGAGGAGGAGAGATGTGAGCGACAGAAATCCTGCTGCAGAACACACCTCATCTCCATTTTAGCTGGAGAGAGAGAGAGAGAGAGAGAGAGAGAGAGAGAGAGAGAGAGAGAGAGAGAGAGAGAGAGAGAGAGAGAGAGAGAGAGAGAGAGAGAGAGAGAGAGAGAGAGGGAGAGATTCAGTCTGTGCCAATTTACTCCTCGGCTCCAGTGACACAGAGAGGAGAGCTGTGGAAGTGATATTTCAACAACCGTGTGACCGAAAGGGAGAAAACGTGTCCTGGCACGTGAGGCATTTGCAAACAAAGGCTGAGCAACTGATGAACGGTAGACACCATGGAGAGAGAAATGTAGCCGGTGCTTCAGTTGCGGTAAGAAACCTGAAATATATTGATGTCATTTTTTAAGCAAACAGGTCATTGCAGCCATCAAACAGCCGAGCGTCTGCATGCACGTTCACTCCCAGTGAAAGCAGCATTGATTCAGAGGTTTCGGTAGCAGGTGTGTGTTCATGTTGCTCTCTTTTGCCAAACACCATAAGTTTGTGCATCTGTGTAATTGTGTGCATGCTGGAACAGACGCACGGAAGAGCAATGCATTGTTTATTACTATCAATGTTGAGATCTGCGTGAGACACCTTTCTCTGTCTTACATCCATCTCCCTTTCTTTATTCCAACCTGCATGTGTTGTGACTGCACAGAATAAACAAACCCTTTACATTACGCATGTAGTTCTACGCCGTACTGAAATTCTCAATTTTCTGTTCATCTGAAAATTGTTTCTCTGTCTATATTTTAACGGAGTAACAAAGTAAAATGAAGCGACGGCATGGGGATAGGGGGAGGCATGTTCAACTTCTTCAGAAGCACTCATGCTTAGAACCTTCAAGCCAATGACTTCTGGAGAGTTGCCCATATGAGGTTGAAATCAATCAATTAACCCGCACCGGTCTTAAAGGTGGAGGTGTTCATAGCAAATGGTAAAATCCATTTTTTGTGTGTCGGGTAAAGACACAATTGCAGCATGACGGACACGTGGGGTGAATAAGTTATGACAAAAGCTTTATTTTAGAGAGTATACACAACGGGAAAACAGTCTTGGATCAGCTCACGTGGCAAAATCAACTCTGTGGAACTTCAACGTGAGAGTGATTGAGCTAATGAGAGGACTGCGGCTGACACGAGCACTGAATGACCACATTAGACGAGTAGTGCAGAGAGACAGACTGGCTGTGTCTCATTTCCGTGCCTGCATCCTCCGAAGGACAGAGCCTGCGGGGTCAACGTGGGCCGGGTCCTTCAACGGCCGCATAGTCTAAACCGAACTCTCTCCGAAATGAGCCGGTCTGGCCTACGGAGGGATTTACTGGTTTTCACCAGGTTTTTCTTCCCCACCTCGGTTGCCTGGCAACCTGCTGTGCTTGACAGTGAAAGCCTTATAACTCAAAAAACATATGAAATGCAGATAGAGATGTTAATCTTCATGTCTCCATTCTGAATACAACCAAATCTGCATTGGGCCACAATGCATGATGGGATATGCTTGGCCGCAAGGGTTGACAAATGCAGCCGCTGGATTGGGACATAGCTTGAGTGTATGGGAGCACAGCTGGGATAATTTGATCATTTTCTGTTGGCTTGGTTGCAATCAAGGGTACAGGTAGATACGTTTAGCTGATTGGCAGAGGTATCAGCTGTGTGGGTGACTGTGTGGGAGGGAAATAGATCCATTTATTTGTATGTGAGAATTGTGTGACTAATTCTTTAATAGTTCACAATTCAACACAAATACACTCACCGCCTGTGGCCCAGTATTTATATACATAAATATGTGTGTATATATATATATACCACACATCCACTTTCTCATGCCAAGAAATCTGACTCTGGTCCAAGCCGTGTTGGTTACTCCCCACCCCTGTCAACCCTAGCGTCTGGGTCGCTATATATATATATATATATATATATATATACACACAAGTGTGTGTGTGTGTGTGTGTGTGTGTGTGTGTGTGTGTGTGTGTGTGTGTGTGTGTGAATATTTTCATACATGTATATATTATATGAATAAATACAACTGATATATTGGTTGAGCCTTTGATGAGAAAATATATATCTGTCTACTGGCCAGTTACACTAAACTTTCAGAGATCTGAGTCAGAAGAGTCAGGGGACTAATGAGGGCTGCCAAGAGCAACAATATTCACCGTGTTCCTCCAGAGACTGTAATGAACGGAGACAGAGTTATAAAAGCAGCCGCTGACTCATGCAGATTTCACAGTTCTTTTCTGAATAGTTCAATTACAAAGTCCTTTAGTGCTGATATCTGGAAAACACTGAAAACACCAAGAGCTTTGGAGAGTAACTAACAAAATTGGGGGCGACATCAAAATTAGATGATAAATCCATTATTGAGCAGGTTGCTTATGAACAGATGAGATGAAAGTGAAGGACCCCGAGACGGTACCTGCACATATGCTTTTACTTTTACAGCTCAGAAGTTGATAACCTCCAGCAGTCATTACATACAAAGTTATTTCATTTATTATGTCCATACAAATAAACAGCATAATGTCTGCATGCTATTGGTTTAGCATTTCTACTCCTTCTTTTGGGGAATAAACTTAATCTCACCACACTTTCTCCTCATCCGCTCACACGCGTTAGAGCCTGCAGAGTCGTACAATACTTTCTATAAGTCATGTTTATCATACCAGCCGCCAAGATGGAAAGACTTGTTAAAAGTTAAGTTCTAATAACACCGTCATTTTTTAATCATGCAGAACTTTATTACAGGAAGCGGATTGATTCATAAAAACTTGTTGAGGCCGGTTAAAAATGAAATGAGTTTTTGCATGTTGACTTTCTCGGTCATTGCGACTTTATCTGGGTTCTCATCAACTGATACACGAGCAAAACAAATTACAAATAAAATCTGGCTGGTAGATATGTTTCCATAGTAACTGTGCAGTAAACCTTCTCGACCAAAACGAGCCATTCAAGCTATATTTGCCTGAATGCATCATAGTTTAATCCTTCAAGGCTTGTACTCTATACACGCAATAAACAACGATTGAAATAGGTCACTAATGTGGTAAATAACTAGTTTTTGATGATCACAGCAGGAGACAACAGGGTCTGGTGGAATGGGAATGATTTCATACTTTATTTCCTCTAATCTCCTGTTGCCGGTTTCCAACCAATTCACATCTGAAAAGAAGTTCTACTTGTGACAAAATGAAACAATCCGCTTTCAAAAGAATTATCAAACACTTCTCCTCTCAAAGTTGAAGGCTCTCTGTGATGGATTTTTCTAACTTCATAAAAATGCTGGTGTTGGTGTTGTACCATGCTGTGGATTAGAGTGTCTGCTAACTACACTAACTGTAAATACTGATGTAACTGGTGTGTCTGCGTCTGTGTGTGTGTGTGTGTGTGTGTGTGTGTGTGTGTGTGTGTGTGTGTGTGTGTATGTGTGTGTGTGTGGGGTGGGGGGGCGGGTGTATTAAAGCAGCAGCTAGAGCCATACACTCTTACCCATAACAGCCTTGAGTACAGGAACTGATAATATAAAAGGTCCTCAGGGTCTTTTTAACTGTTACATAATAAATAACATTTGTGGGATGTGGGAGCACTGAACATTGAATGTGAACCACTGACATTAAATATTAAAATGCAGCACAATTTCCTCGCTCCTGCATATTCACTTTTTTCTTTTAGGCTGATAGAAACCCCGGGGATTACAGCAGAACCACACTTCTTCCTCTTTTTTTCTTTCTTTCGTCATTTGTTTGTTTCTTACTATGTCCGTGTTTTGTGTTGCTCTCGAAAACAAAAAATCTGCATCGTTTTTTTAGCCTTTCCCTAAATTCTCCCTCACTCTTCTCACCTGTGGAACATTTCTGTAATTTCCATCCTTCAAAACTTTATGTGATCCTGCCGAGACATCCACTGCATTTCAATTGCAAACCTTTTAGTTCAGAGTGGAAACTGATGAGGAATAATGCTGAAAGATCTGTTTGTATTTTGGTGACATATTCCTTTTTAGCAGACTATTGCAAAAAACGTAATTTTCTTGATTAATTTAATTTCTGTCTTTTTCTCTCTCGTTCTCTTTATTTCTCTTCTTGTGTTTCTGACTGAACAGAGAGCCGCTGTGCTGGGGTCCTTGTCTTCTTCATCTGTGGCAAGGATGTGAGATCGTTGGTGTGACAACAAAGGCGTTATCCATCTACAGTCCTATCACCTAAACTAAAGGTTGTGCCTACAGAGAAATCATACACATTTCAGCGTTTTTCTGATGCTCTTGTGTTAAACTCTCTATTCGGTTTAGAGCCACCTGGTCTACCTTTTACTGTCGAGACACATCTTAAAAAAACGGACATAACATACATTTCTGTTCTGATTCAGCTCACACCTCACACAGACCTTTCCGTACTTTCTCTGAATCAGCTCCTGTGACCGTGAGGATTATGAGGCCGACTTTAGTGCTTCTACAGTCACAGTGTCTCCTGTGTGTGTTGGTTGGTGTAAGTGGGCCCGGCGTTGTGGCTTCGCTACCTCACACACTACCATGGCACGTCTCCTGCCCAGTGAGGTGTATGTGTCAGATCAAGCCGTGGTTCTCCCCTGATTCTGTCTACCACGAAGCTCCCACTGTGGACTGCAACGACCTGCTCCTGACCAGGCTCCCCTTACCCATACCCCCAAACACACACACCCTGCGCCTGCAAAGTAACCTTCTGTCCAGGCTCGACACTGTGGTGCTGCACGGACTTGACAATCTCACCGACCTCGACCTTTCCCAGAATCGTTTCAGCCGTGTCGAGACAATCACTCAGAGCTCCCCCCTGTCCTCTCTACTGTCGCTCCACCTGGAGGAAAACCATCTCAGTCAACTCCCTGCAGCTTCATTCTCATCATTTCCAGCTCTGCAGGAGCTCTTTCTCAGTCATAACAACTTACACGTGATAGCACCTGGAGCCTTCACCGGTCTGGACTCCCTACTGCGTCTGCATATCAACAACAATAGACTCATCACTGTTGACCCTCGGTGGTTCAGGCCTTTGCCTCTCTTGGAAGTTCTCATGCTTGGCGGAAACCCTGTGGAGGCCCTGCCTGAGCGGGGTTTCCTGGCCCTGAAATCACTCCGCAGTCTTGTCCTTGGTGGTATGGGCCTTAGAGGCTTGGCTGAAAAAGCACTGGAAGGGTTGGATGGCTTAGAGAGCCTCTCCTTTTACAATAACCTGCTGACAAAGGTTCCCACTCAGGCCCTGATGAGAGTGCCAGGATTGAAGTTTCTCGATCTCAACAAGAACCGCCTCAAACTCATCGAGACAGGGGCCTTCCGAGACATGGTCCACCTGAACGAGCTCGGCCTGAACAACATGGAGGAGCTAGTGTCCATTGAGATAGCCGCCCTGGAAAACCTTCCGGAGCTGACGAAGCTTGAGATCACCAACAACCCGCGCCTGTCCTACATTCATCCTCAAGCTTTCATCCAGCTCCCTCGGCTCGAGAGTCTAATGCTCAACTCCAACTCTCTGAGCGCGCTGCACCAGCACATCATGCTTTCCCTGCCGAGTCTTCAGGAGGTCAGCTTACACTCCAACCCACTGCGCTGTGACTGCTTGTTTCACTGGGCTGCAGAGGAGGCCTCTCGCCCTCGAAGTGAAGACGCACGAACACCTCGAATGGTGCGTTTCATCCAACCCCAGGCCACTCTGTGCTCTGAGCCGCCAGAGCTGAGGGCTCGTAGGGTGCGGGAGGTGTCATCCAGGGAGATGTCGGCCTCATGCCTCCCAATGATCCCTACCAGCTCCCTCCCTTCGTACGTTGGGGTGAGAGAAGGAGGGAAACTGATCTTGCACTGCAGAGCTCTTGCAGATCCACAGCCTGAAGTGTACTGGGTGACTCCCTCCGGGCTGAGACTTGGTCCTGCACCGAGCCATGCAGCCAAAGTCTTACCAGCTCCCGCTCCCTGCCACAGCCTGCACTCATCCAGCGTCTCTCCCAGCCAACCTCGAGATGATGCTCCCTGTAATCCCTCTAAACTCTACCGTCTGTTGCCCGAGGGAACTCTGGAAATGAACACGGTCACCTCCAGCGACGCAGGATTGTACACTTGTGTAGCTGAAAATGCACTGGGAGCAGATACACACAGCGTTACTGTGGGTGTGCATAGCAGAGAAAACAAAAAAAAGAGGGGAATGCGGTCTAATAAGAAGGGATATAAGCTATTCAGCAACGATGCCGGATTTGAGGTGAGGGAGGTTGGACAACACTATGCCATCCTGTCATGGCTGAGCGGGCAAAATCTCCCTTCAACTCGTCTGTCCTGGCAAGCCATATACTCAAACGCACACACGCCAACATACAGCACACGCATCCTGGCTGGTACCCAGAGCTTCAACCTGACCCACCTGCAGGCAGAGACCTTTCACAGAGCGTGTCTACATTCAGGGACCGGTGAGGAAGCCACGCGTGTCACCAAGAGATCCGGAGACAGCAGAACGCCTCAGTGCGTTTCATTCAGGACGAAGGACGTTCCGGTGCCTCGGCCCAGCTTGCTGCTGAGTCCAGAGCTGACCTCCACAGCAGTCACACTACTGCTGCTCGCTATCATACTGCTGCTGCTGGCAGGCCAGGGCTGGGACAATGAGCAAGGAGCACACCACAGTACCGTCCTGCAGAAAATCAAAAGTCCCAAGTCTCCAATCATCATCGTCAATCAAAAGACAGGAGGCACCTTGGCCGAAGCAAAGTGAAGAACTGCTTTAACATCAGGACTGCTGCAATGATAAATAAAAACAAAAAACACTCAGACAAATGTATACAAAATGTCAATTACAGCCTAAACGTTGAACTTTGAGCTAGAAGAGAGCAGTCATAGATGGTGCAGAGAGATTTGTATTTATTTTATATGAAGTAAAAAGTATATATTGACATTGTTTGTGTGTTAATATGTGATGTAAAGAACGCTTCCAGAACTCTAACCACAAAAAATGAAGGTGGACAATCATAAGCCTTCTGCACAGTGAGCAAACGCAGAAGAAACAATGAGTCTGAGGTGCTGATAACTACTGGACTGAAATGAAAGGCAACACGATTCAATCCAGGGACAGATATTTACAGAGGAGAGCGGCTCAGCCCTGCAGGGTATTCGTCATGTTTTCTGTTTACATGTTCCACAGAATGAACCATTCTTTCTCTGAGCAGATGAAACTCTGTCCGTGTGAAGACTGATCCGGAATAAAATGATTGCATTGATGTGAACCTTTTTGCTTCAGTACCTTGGACTGGGTAGCTTGTCTTAAAGTACATCATACAGTTTGCTCATCCTGAGTCCGCACCTAACAAGCCCAGTCTTCTCTAAGCATAACAGTGATCTAAAAGTAAAAGTGTTGAATTCTTTTTTGAGCTATTATTCAATAAAGTCTTTTTACAATGTAACTGTTTATGTCTGTTTTCTTGCCACAACCCAAACTCAATCCAGGAAAACATATTAAGAGATGAATCTGCAGTAGCAGCTCGCTGCGCACGAGGAAGCTGCTCCACAGCAGTATCTGACACCTCCTCAGTAAACACAAGACAGTGTGTCCCCTGCTGGGCAAGACGTGGAACTGAGTGGAGGCTTCAGATGAAAGCATGAAGTATTTCCTCGTTGAACAGCAGCACAGCAATATAATAACATTGATTGATTGATTGAGATATATAGATCAAGTTATACAAGTGACCTTATGAATGTGGCATACTCTGTTTTTCGGCATGCTTCAAAAAGAAGTTTCTCGTGCCTGTATATAAAGTAATTTTCCACCATTCACTTCAGATTTCAGCATATATATATATATATATATATTTTTTTTTTTTTTTTCATATGCACAGTAGTATAAATCACTCATATTTTCATTCTTTCTGAAATACAAATCCTGATTTACTTTTAAAACTCAAACTCTAAATATCTGGCTATCTCATAATGGATGTGGCTTAATAATTGCAACCGTAACTAAATAAGGTAGATTTAAAAAAAGGTAGTGGAAAAGATAAAAAACTTTCAACCTTAGACAAAGTAAAATTTCCGTGAGTAAACAATAAAGATATCTAATCTAGTTAGACTCTGTATTTATTCACACAAAACATCATACATTTTCTTCAATAAGGCAACACAATACGGTATATACATACTACAATCTATATGTAAACCATATTCTGACTTTATGCGGTTATTTCTTAAACATGTCATTCTTTACGATCACTAGCAAATTTAAATTAATATTTTAGCAATTCATGTAAGAGTACCAAGTCATACTGTTAGTACATCCAATTCAACAATCCTATACTCACTGCTGTATGCGCCATTATTGATATATTTTAGCTGCAATTTGACATCCTACTGGAATATAAAAAAATCTTTTGTGAGCAGTAAAAGGAGCCCCGTGGAGTTTTCTAATTTGACAACAAAAACCTGTTTGCAGTGTCTGTTGCTCAGAGTCAAAATGTTCTACTATTGTTAACACCAATCTTAGTATAATAGCTACGTATTAGCTTGCAGAATTTATCTACACTAATTAACAGGAGCTTTGCAGCATTTATTGGTGAGTTACCGCCACCTGTTGATTGTGGTAGAAGAGTGAAGTAAAAGTGTTAGGGGGAACTAGTACCACACGAGCGTCCTTGTTTGTCTGCATCTGACTTTTAGAACAGCGACAACTCCCCAGGGGACCTTAACCACCGCCAACATTAGTTAGAAAACAAACAGAAACATTATTTGAAAAACAACTAACTTCAAATATACTCCTTTTCACAAACATCAAACAGCATTGGCATTTTCCATCAGAATTATAAGATACATGAACACTGACATCATCATTGGGTGCTGGAGTGGGTCTCACTCCTAAACAGTATGAGGTGCTTGTAGTTTGAAATGGGAAAAGAATGTGAAGACCAAAATCTTTCTTTTGTGTGTGTGTGTCCTTCGAAAATTATGGGCATTTGTTTGTGTATTGTACAGAGCGATACTGTTGGTTCGATACCCATTCTCTTCACAGCTGATAAGATTGTACAATCATTTACAAAAATATAATTCTATTCTGCATTAACAAGTGACAGTAGTGATTAGTACTGGTTTAAACAGGCCATTAAGTGACTAAAGTGAATAGAATACACAAATCACTGAGACTCTGAAAATAAGAAAACAACATCAAGCAGTAGTACTATAAATTCTATCACTGCGTACAAAGCACAGAATACTGTCTGCTCATACGATTCACGAGCAGCACTAGATTTTCTTGTTGGGTTTATAAAACTGGCCAACAGAGCTGCTCTTAGGGTCCCGTTCCCCCGGGCAGTGTTCCAAAAACGTCTGAAATTAAGCCTCAAAACTGCTGATTTACAGCACATTCTTGGTATGTTAAGCAAGTTTGACTGGAAAAAAACACCAACTTGTCACACTACTATGACCTATTATGGTAAAACAAACCTAATTTAGCGTTTATAAGCAGTATATAGAAGTGGTTTATAACAGCAAGTGTTAATCCCGCTTTGAAGCATCTATAACTGCGGTATTAGCAGTTAATCATTTTTTCAAAAAACAGTATAACATAGTTTCAAACATAAAGCACCATATTTACTTACTAGTTTTAAACACACCTTCAAATGGTTTTCAATCCAACTGTACATTTATAGTCTCATGTAAACAGTTAATGATTGAACACGCGTTTAACTCTTGAAGATAAGCGATTATTTAATGTTATGTTATAAACCATTAATGTACTGCTTATAAATACTACTTTTACCCCAAATATAGGGTGACTTTGACTGATAAGGCAATGCATTGACACAAAAAGGGTAAGTTGTGTTTTATAAAGTGTTGGATTTCTCCCAATATAAACAGTATACACTAGACCTCAAATCTGCACACACCAATACACCCTCAGACACATTGAGTTGTCAACAGTGTCTCCACACAACATGCTTGAACAGTTTCAATTCAACGAGATACATATATTTATATCACACTTTTTAACCAGCTATGAAATATGTAAGTCAAAGAGAGAGAAGTGAGTCAAAAGATCTGAAGCAGCATGAATGTTAAGGAAACAGAAACTGTAACAAATACATATGCACTCAGGACCAATTGGGTGCAACTGAGAGTTTGCGTATTATTTGATTAGTTGATGAGCAGGCAATTCATCTGCAAAAATATTAACAAACACTTATATCTAACAAAATGCAAAAATTAAAAGGATCCACCTTCTCAGATATAATTTCTTTCTAGTTTTCTTCTGTCTTCCACAATAGAAAACATATTTTGTTGGGAGGTTTTGGAACATTAGGCAGAAGAAAAAATACATTTATGTTAACTTGAGAAATTATTAGTTTATTTAATATATCAAATGATTAATCCATAACCTTATTGTTAGTGGCAGCCCAAGGCTGTTGTACGAGTTAATTTTTGAATCGTGCCTCTGGCTCTCTTTATAGCTGAATGTTAGCACATTTTCTTTTCCATACTAAGCTGCTTGTCAAATACCTTCACAATGGTACAAGGATGGCTTCCTGATAAGAGAGTCTATCCTTTGACCAGAAACGTCATGTCCAATACCTCCTGACATTAACTATGCCTCCCACTAAAGTGGATTTTGGCAAGACACTGGCTGAATGTCCTTTCAGGAGTGTGTGAGTGTGTAAACCTTCGACCTACTCAGTCTCCTTTTTAAATTAAAAGCATCCTTCATATGGAGAGATGGACCAAATCAAAGGTATTCTTAGAACGGTAGTCGCTATATCTTCTGTTGTCATGGAGGCCGTTTGATTTACCAGTTAGGCCGCAATATGACTCAAATAAAAAAAAAAAATTTTTAAGGTAGCTTCATACCTTTCAATAGCAAAGAATGGGGAGGCTGATCCCAGAGACTGCACTGATAGATGAGATTCAGTCACAGGAGGAACTGCTCTGTAGTGGACCCTGACCTCGGACCTTCCTGTGAAGCTATCAACACATTATATGACCATACAGCATCTCAAATGAGTATTGAGAAAAGTCTTTAGGCTTCTGAAATGTAAAAAATAATTATATATTCAAAGTAATTTTACCATCTGCAGCTTAATTCATCAAAAGATAACCATCCTTGACAAACACATATGCACTGCAAGTGTACACACACACACACACAGACACACATCTCAGCTGTAGTTATAGGTGAAGTTGTAAGAGCTGGGCTCTTTTGGCACAGGGGGCGGGGCTTCCGGGATTGTGATGTTCTCAAGGTCGAGGAGGCGTAGCTTCATCTCCATGCTGATGAGAGTGTCTAGATCACTGCGTGTCAGATCGCTGCCCATCTCTCTGCCCAGGAGCGCACACAGCCCGTCAGTCCAGATGCAGTACTGCTCCGAAAACACCGCAAGGAGGGACATGAATGAGAACAGTGATGTAGTCGCTGTGCAGAGCAAAAAAAACGCTCGGGAAATGTGTCAGGCGGGACAAGCGCATGTAATTGGGAGAGAATCCGGTCGTTTTTCAAAATGACACGTTCAGAAGAAAAGTCAAATAGAAAAAATAAACGTTTTTTTCTGCAGCCCATTACCAAGTTGCCGCGGACCGGTAACGGTAGGGGACCACTGCTGTAGAGAACAAGTTATGACGTCCAAACAAATCCTGTTGAGTGTTCTGAATTGTATTTTTTTATAAATGTTTTACTGTTCTGACAGCTCAGGTCCGTTTAAACAAAAAAAACTTTGAAAAAAGCCTATATATTTGGCAGATGTAAAGCATGTGTATGTTTTCTTTTAATTATTACATCCAGTTTGTACACTTTCTGAATATTCTCTGCAGTCTGAATTTACGCTCAGTTCTGTTTTTGAATAAAACGTGTGGAAATGGATCCTTTTTTGTTTTTTTTCATCAAATTTATTGATGAATCGAAAAAATAATCGTCAGATTAATGGATTATTAAAATAGTCGTTCGTTGTGGCTTCAAGGTGCAATGTAAGGCAACAACTTAAAGTTAGTTATTTTATTTGGACATCCAGATTCATAAAAATGTGGTACACTTTTGAACCTAAAGTTGCATCGTTCTGTCTGATATTTCAAAAGCGAAAATTGATATTCTAGTTAATAATGAACATACGATCATATCTTAGTATTTATATTTAATTTGGTACAGTTATGCCATTCATTGTTCAAAAATAGAGACAACACGCACAATAAACAAGATGTTGGATGTATTTACTAAAGATATGGCTAGATTATCTTTAATGTAAATTTCTTTTCCCATAATGTCTGTCATTTATTCACTTGGTATTGCTATTTATAGCAGTGAAGTTAACAGTTGCCTATTATATAACAACATTTATTTGGAGTTGGGTTACTTTCCATTCGATTAATGTTTCTCCAATATGTCCTCCTTTTAGCTCTGTTTTGATTTCCACCAACTCATGAGGGAAATATATGACTCTTTAATTTCTAAATCCCCCTGTAAAACACATTTGATGCACTGTTCAAAATAAAATGGAATCATTTAGCTTCAAGCCTCACTGTTACTGAGCTTACCTCATACTTGGTTGGTGCGACAAAATTGAGAGTCTCATCGGGATCATAGAGGACAGAGAAAGCCAACTCCAACACCTCCTAGGAAAAGCAAACATGCACAAAAATAACACACTGTGCCAGTAAGAAATGAGAAAAACAGCCATGTGACTAGAATGACAGTAAAGAACATATTTTAACATTAGCACCTTGTTTTGTTTCAGTGCACTTTTCTCTTTCATATGAGGACAGTCCTTGCCGGTCACCACAGACTTGATGTCAGAGACGGGGACTGAGAGGAATATAAAGAGAAGTTTATTCAGGTCAGCCTACTGGATGCGCATGTGTCATCAAGTCTGTATTGAAAAGTTTATGAGATGGAGCCAACCGAAGAAATAAATGTATCTTACTCTTGTCACTTAGTTGCTCAAAAGGCACTTCACCCTGAGGTGACTCGTCGAGGTCTCCGTAGTGCAGCACTTTGTGATTCAGCGAGAGTCTGCAGAACCAAAACTTCTCTACAAAGAGTCACAGACACAAAACAACACTTGTTACCGCTGATAATCAACAGCAGCAGCACTCCTACTTCAGCAAAAAAGAAAATAAAAAGTTATTGTATTGATACTGTATGTACCTTGCCTTCGGCGGTTCCCCAGCTTCCGGAAACAGCTCCCCTCACACAGCCGGTTGAGCCGCTGCTGCTTGATAAGCTCCAAGATCTCCGGTTGAATCCTCTCCCGCAGCTCACTGGACAACAAATACAGCATGAGCAACAAAAGGAAAAACACGCATGCTATACTATTATTTATCTTTACTATACACTGACATGATAGGGGGGGACTGGAAGTCGTCCTGGCTCATTCTCTCTGACTGCCGCAGACGCAGAATCTCTGAATAGTTGAGGCCTCGCAGTTTATTCTTCAGCTGGTCTAGAGATGATGGCTTCATTGCCAGAGCCCTGGTGATCTGCTCACGGACCACCTGCATCACCTGCTCAGGGTTTAAGCACATATACATGGAGAGAGGAAGGGTGGAATAAAAACACAGACACTATGTATTAACTTACTATATATTAAGAGCCGATAATGAGCATAAATATCCAGTTTGTCCATTAATTACTTTCGTTTGGGTTCTTTCAATCTTTAAATTCAAAGCGTTCTGGAGCAGAGTATTTTGCCCCAATACATGTTCGGAGGCAAGGTCACAATGACGGGTTGGGGCAGTGGGACTGTAAACATACATCTAAACCAGTGATTCTCAACTGGGTCGCGGGCCTTTGCCTGGGAAAATAGGAATTAGAATTTTTGTTTTTTCATTAAACTTGTTTTTGTGTTGGCATACGTATTCTGTCTCCATACTATCTCAGGTTCAAACTGCACCATATTTTCATTAAATACATTTGAGAAGTTGAGATTGTTCCTCGATTTGGGTCGCGGCTTGTCATTAAGGGGTGATGGTGGGTCCCGGAGCCAGACCAGTTGAGAACCACTGATCTAAACATTCTATTACTATGAATGTGTTAAAGACCACGTGAGAGGGCTTTAGTCTGTGACCTTATTGAAGTCCTCAGCTGTGGCCCTCATCTCCTTCCAGGTTTTATTAAGAAGCTGGATACAGACACAGAAGAACTCCTCCCAGGCCCGGTCATGAGTGAAGAACATGGGGTGGTAGTCGTTGCAGCCCTCATTAGCTGCACGAAAGACAACATCAGAAGAGAAAAAGTTAGCAAAAGATGCCTTTTCCCTCACACACACACAATAACACCTAGCTTCCCCTCGTGTAAAATACAGATCTACTCACGCAATTCTCCGACCTGGAGAATCTCACACAGCATTCGAGTGAGTTCGATGGCACACCGGCCGAAGGGACATTCATGCTTGTCCTCGCGGCTGCTGTTCTCTAACACAATCTGCCGTAAGGGAGAAGACATGTTAGATGTGGTACCTTTTTGAGTCAAGAAAGGTCCTGCATGAGGCCAAAACCCACCCTGATGTACGTGTCCTGGTGAACCTTGGCGAGGTACAGCATGTTATCCAAAGCCAGCATTCCCGGGGGAGTCTGGGTGAAGTCCATAGCCGGATTCACATGGTTCTGCATTTGTAGTAAATGTAAAATAATAAGTAAATTAATATTCAAAATATATTATGGCAACTGAGATCTATAGTGCAGACTCACAGTGAACCCCAGCATCTTATAGTCCTTGGTGTACATGGCCTTTCTCTTTTCTGTTCCAGTGGGGTCATTTTCTCCATCGAAAGCAATCCTTCGCAGCTCAAATATGATGTCTCTCTGAGCCTAAAGAATAGCAATTCAAATATTACATTTCTGCCAGTGGAACGTGTATACAGTGCACTTTGTGCATGCAGATGCAAAGGCCAGGTGCACACTGTAAACAAGAACCACGAAAGGAAGCATGAAAATGTCTAGAAAAGATCAAGTCCTGTTGTCCTATAAGTGATCAGGGTTGGATTAACTATGTTGCTGATTTTTTTTTAAACATTCTTTTGTATCTAAAGGGAATTCGTTGCATTTTCACTTAGCAGGTTTCATTTTAACAGAATAAATGACACAAACCAATGATCTGCAGAACCAAAAATTCCCACCTGGTCATTGGGATCCATTTTGGTCATCATTCGCTCTTCCAAAAGGTTGAAGGTCAATACCTGGAGCACATACAGCTGATGTGCCATTTCAGCTTTGATTGGTCGATTTCCTCTGATAACATGCTGACAAAAGAAGATCACATATTTTAGAGCAAACTACAGGCTACCTAAGACACCACAGGAATAATCTAAAAGCCCCCTGAATTGTACCTTTTCCACGGAAGGAAAACTCAAACGTTATTTGTAAATAAGAAAATCCCCTGAAGCCTTAAGGCTGAATATGATGTGGCGTCATAAGACACACTGAGAGTCCAACAGCTACCTAGGTCTTCTTAACAGACTGGCAGCTTTTGGGTCTATCACAACAAATTGCGGCTTCCTGAATGACCCGCAAAAGTTTACCTAACCCCAGCAAAGAATAGTTTCAAAGAAGGCTGAACAGAAAAATGTTGTATCAAGAAAGTTTTTCCATTTGATGTAACCACTATTTTTCAGCCCAATCTATGAAAACTGCTCAAATCCTTTTTTCACACCTGGATATTTCATAGCCCTCAGAAAGCAGACCGTTACCGCTGAAGTGCAAATGTAATAGACAGAAATCCTTTCAGACTTTCATTTTAAATTTGGTACCCACATTGAGGATGATGGATCGCAGGTGTTTCTGTGCCAAAGTGCTCGCCATTTCCTGAGGGTGAAGAAACACATTATCCCAACACAGTGGGCTGATGAGGGAAGGGAAGATCCTTCATATCACTCAAGTCTACCAACAGTAAATAGGAAGTTTAAACAACTTCTCAAATGCAGAGGTTTTTTGAAGCTACATTTCCAGCACTAGTTATCACTATTTGTCCTTCACATCTCCTGTAAAACATCTTTTAATCTTTCAACACACTCTGTCTGCTGCTGCATAGATAGCCTTGCGGCTCACCATGACACAGAAAGAGATGAACTCTGAGGGAGGAGCGGGGCTGTGGGATGGAGAGGACATACGAGATGCTGAGGGATGTGTACTCACAGTGAGGTGCTGCTCCAGCGGGTTAGTGTACTCCTCCTACAGGTCGAAGGGAGGGAGGGGGGACGTGGGTGTAACAGTGATGGAAACAAAGAGCGCACACACAGACAATGAGATACAGAGATACTTCAACAGCACAGCATGCAACGAAATAAGAGCACAAAACCACATAATGTCAAATAAGAAGTAGTGACGACATTTAGCTGTTTGAAGAACTTTGTATGGCATACATGCCGAGTCACATGACCACGCATTTATTGGTTTGTCCAACGGTTAGGAAAGGATTTTACAAACGGTGATCTTTAAACTCCATTTATGCATCCGGATCTCTGGGGTGTTGTGGTAGGTCCCTTAGCACAGATACTAGTTGTGTAACCTTGTCTGTCAACAATTTTCTTCATTGTAAAAATAAACCGGAGACCATTCATCAGACCATGATCATCCTCTTAGAATGTTGTACTGCTTTCCTGCTCCCGGAATTGTAACGAGATTTTAGAATCATTCAAGTCTCCTTAATTTATAGGAAACTTGAATATCAATAATTTAAACATTAGCTTCACTGTAATGTACTCACTTTGAGTACCATTAGTGGTCAGCTCAACTTTGCTGGCCACATACGATGTGTATTGTGTGTGTACCTCTGATGTATTCTATACAAGTGACTTAGATTGCCCCCCACTGGTCAACAACAGCAGTAGGAGATGCCGTCATGCTCAAGGACAACTGTCCGGACATACTGTGCGTCCTCAGACAACCCCACAATGCAATTAAGTAAGATCCCTGTCTTCTTCTCACAATGTCATCTAGTCCTCTGCCTTCATAAAGCACAAATCAGTGACATCGCAACAGCTAACTGCCTCGTCCACTTGATGCAAGTATTATCAAAGGTAAATAATCCAGTATGAGCAGCGATTAGCTGTTTGTCAAATATTTTACTTTCCTACATATCCTCAGCTCTCACTTCATAAACTATTGTTAATCATTTTAAATTGACTAAAATCAAAATTGTTTAAGTTTGTGATAGATTTATGAGTTGGGCTATGGTATTTCAAATTAATTATAAAACGTATATATTTATTTGATATGTTTATTTAAATTTAAATGTATTTTATTTAAATTTATATTAAATGTTTTAATAATTTGTTTTTACGGTTCAATTATCAGTGTTCATTTTCCTCCAATTTAATTCCTGATATATTATTTTCTCTGTCTAGAATTGGAACATTAAAGTTGTGTTTCCTTATGGCAAAAATGGTTAATACTTAAATAACACATACAAATCAAATGTCAACATGGTGAATAATAAATATGTACGAGACAGAGCGAGTGAGCTGGGACACAAGCTGTTGGCAGGGGGAGCGCAGCACAGACTGAAATGATGTGACATGGATGAGTAACATACTGGACAGACATCCAAAGAAGCCCTCGCTCCTTTAGGTTTTGTATATTCGCTTGTGCTACAAAGAGATATTCCAGAAACAGTTTGGGAATCTGTTGGTCGGACTCCGTTTAATCATCCGGCACTCAGTGGCATGTTTTGGATGTCCCATGAATCATTTTTTCATGCCACGATTGATGAATAGCGAGCAACAACGGCATTGGGTTCAATGCTTGAGGAAAATAGAAATAAACATATTTCACAGAATTTAACGAAATTCATCGTTGATTATTGCATTCTGCTCGGATCTAATTCAAGAACTTTGTCACAATCACTCATCCTTCAGATGGTGTCCGTCTTTGAGCTATTCTGAAATAACAGCAGCTTAACAAATGTGCAAACTTCAAAGAAAAGCAAGTGCTATTTTAAGTGACTGCGTCATTACAGAATGACTGTCATGACAGAATCATCACAGCTGGCAGACAGACGTCTTAATCATGGGATTAGCTTTAGTAAGCAGCCTACTCCTGTCTCCATTAGCAGCCGGAGAGAGACAATAACTGCAGCTGCGACACCAGAAAAAACACTATTATAAATAAATGTCAGTCTTTCAGTGTAAGTGTAGTGTGAGGATGGAACATTATTAGTCTTCTACTGTAGCTTGGTCTATCTATGATGCGCATTCAGTCCTTCTCAAATTAACAAACACTGACCTGCCGTCTGTCCTCTGGTGCCTTCAGGAAAAGAGCATTGATTAGCGCGATGGCGTACGTTTGGATCTCTTGGTTTGACCTGAAGGAATATATCAAGCATTGCAACAACCAGTTAGAAGCATCATGCTCCATACACAGTTTTAACTAAAGATTCAAAACACATCTCACTTTTATCACTATCGCTGCAAATACTTGGGATGGGTGCAGGACGTTTAGAGAACCCTCTTCTACACCTTTTGTATAATTATTCATGATTTTGTTAAACAAGCAAAAAAAGACATTGAACATATTTAAAGGTTTTTGGGAATATATTTCTGACCAAAAAAAGAGACCTAACCAACAATGAATGGATCCTCCTAAAAATGTATTGCCTTACATAGCTTTTTAACTATGTGCCATTAAGCACAATGTTGCACTTGGTGATAAGTTTCATCGATACAATCAAGGGATTGTTTTAGGTTATGTTTAGCAATCAAATATATGATGTCTAGGTCAGCCTACAAGGTAGAAATGTCTCGAGTCCTTGGCATGGAAATAAACCAAGTCAGGGCCCTCAACACGGTTACTTATGTTGGATTGTGAAGTTAACCCTTGTCGGGTTTGGGGGAAAAAGGGCTGAGCTGAAACCTTGACAGGCTGCAACGGTTTGCATACAGGAGGTACCGCCTAAACTCTCACAAACTCATGAATGAGGAGAGGAGTGCATAAATCCACTGCTAAAAGTAGTCCTAAACAAGTGCACTATACTGTTTTTCATTGGATTTGTGGACAACATGAACAATGTAGAACAACATCCGCCTTGGTGTTTGATAGGAGTCATCTAAGCATCCTGAACTCGCCACGGGCCAAATACCTTAGCAACTTTCTATTATTTTATTTCCTAAGTTACCCCACAATGCTACATTCACACATCTCCCCCCCCTCAAATCAGAGTGCATGAAGCCCCTGTGCGTGTGTGTGTGCTCACACTTGCAAGTGCCCGATGAGCTGTCCAACGGTGATCTCTTGTGCCACTCGATGGTAGAGGCTGTGGCTGTTGAGGACCATGCTCTCGAGGATGGCCAGAGATCGCTGCAGAATGGACACGTCCACCATCGGCTGGTTCACATAGCCTGCAATCTGAGTGAGCACAGAGAAGACCAAGCAACATGAAGAGAACTCTGAATCATGAACTTGTCAAGTCAATTGACTCAGAAACGCAGACAAGAGTTTATAATCCTTGAAATTAAAAGCACCATAAACGGTTTAGAAAGTTTTCAGAAGGTAAATCACAGAAGTCATATTCTTAATACTGAAGGAGCTTGGAATAATGTGAGGAGTTGCTAGGCAACTGCAGCCTCTATTTTCGAGGATGTAGGATGAAAGGTTGGTGAACTAATTATATAAAAGCGAAAGAATAAAAAGGGATTAAAAAACAAAACAGCATTTCATCCAACATATTAATTTCACAGAAAGCCCACTGGACAAATCTACAAATTTCAAGGTCTGTTGTTTGAGGAACTACCTGTTTGATAAAGGAGAGGGAGATAAGGTCCCAGGACACAATGCCATGATCCATCAGCTCCAGGAAGGCAGTGAGCGTGAAGGCCAGCATTTCACCAAAGCTGAAGGAAGCAAGGAACAGTCAGTAGAGGCCTTTTCACATTACCTAACCTGGTCCAACTGCCGAGGAATGATTGTACACGTATAAACTGAATTAGTGCTCACTGGGTGCCACTCTCCACAAGACGTGCAAGTGTCCCAATGCCCTCCATATTGATGAACTCAGCGGCAAAGGTTGGGTCCGCGGACAGCTTGGCAAGCTCTTTCAGAGCCTCCAGCCGGGCGTCGATACCGTGGGATTGGATCCTCTCCAGGAGTTGACGAGCAGCCCGAGCCTGTCGGACACAAAGGAAACCCACTTTCATGACGAGTTTACCTCACGGAAAGATTTGATCGTGACACAGAGATTTTAAAGTCATGCATCCAGCTGTTTTTTTTTTATCTGAACTCGTAAAAGTGATTATATTGGTTTTACGTATTTGATGCATCATCACCCTATGCTATCAATGTCAAATAACTATGTCTTAGTTCTAACTGTTTAAATATTACAGCAGGTGTTACATGTTGTCACCCAAAACATTGTGTCAGAAGAACAAATGCAAAAATTGCTTTGAATAAGATTTAAGCAGGAAGTCGGCAAAAGAAAAATAACCGAGTTGTTATGAATCCGAATTATTGCAGAGCACATTGGTAGAACTTTGTTGTGTGGGTTTTTGGTAGTGGACAGTGCATTCAGGAGGAAGGGTGGGATTAGGAACAATATATTATCATACATTATAATTGAGGCTGGTATCCACCATAGCAAATCACATCAACCCTTTTCAACGTTTTAAGGCAGAGCTCTCCCACCATCATGTGCTGACAGACAGGTTTTGGAGTACAGAGGAAACCGAACACACACCAGCTGCTCATTGTAAGAATAGTTGACTATCTTATTGTAGGAATATTTCATTCTCAAAACGTTTTACAATAGAAACAACTGAAATGGAATAAACAAAGCTGACTCACAGGTGAAATGGCCAATCGGAGGATGGTCCCGTTCTTGATTTCACCACGGCTCTAGAAAACAACAAGGGAAGAATTGTTTCTACACGTTCAACACTGATCTACGACGCCATAAACTCAAGCTTTGGAAGAAAACTGTGAAGCTCACCTGCTCAGTGATGTAGAGCTGAGGGCCATCAGCATAGCGCAGAGCAAACTGCTCGGAGCCTGATAAAGACCAACTGAGGAGGAGAACAAGGTGGAAGGAAGTGGTTCAGCTGTTGGATACCAACTAAAAGGAGTAGTGGAACTTATTTTTATGGAGCATACTCCAGTCAAATTTCTCCCTCCAGCATTTGTATTTAAACGAATAAATTAGACATTTTGGAGGAGGATTATTCAGTGGCAGCAGTAACAACGGGCAGAGAATTCAGGCATTGCGGCTTAAAATGTGAAACGGAGGGAGTGGGTGGATACGGCTGAGGAGTGGATGGGTGGGATGAAAATGTGCAATATTCATCGCTAGTGTACACTACAAAAGAGCAGGTAAATACAATCACATGTTATGATGGAAGCAGACATGATGACAGACAAAATGAGTGACAGTGATTATACAAGGTACCAGCTGTTGGATTGTATCTCTATGTGTGAACCACTGGAATGACACAACTGGACAAACTGTGACCCTTTAACATCCACGTCACAAGTTTAACGGCTGCCATTCTGACTTATTTTTAGCCTTACCTAATAAGCATACAAACATTTCTATTAACAATCCATAATTGGGTAATCAAACATCAAATCAGAATACATGACAATACAAAATAAATATTTAAATGTGTGAAAGTAATGCTTACCCATCACATACTTCCCGTATTATTGAGGACAACGGTCTTTTCTGCAAACAAAAGAAAAACACATTGACCGCTTGTGTTAAGAGCAAGTAGTTGTTAAAACCAGATTACATATCCTAAATCTGTTAGTCAAGAAGGGTAATTTATTATAACAACCATCTAGCTACAGGACATACATGTGTTGAATTTATAAAACCAATGTCAAAATGACTCTTGACTTTCAGATTAAAACAAAATGAAATTACAAATATATTAAATTTACTTTCTAAAAGGATCCACCATTAATAGCTAGTTAGAGGTTAGAAGAAGTTATTAGAGACCAACTAAAGATGCGTTTACTCTCATGTATATACAAATAAATACAAACCTGGTCCATCTCTATAAGCTGAGCATTAGCACCAGGCCACTCAATAGCAACTTTCACGATGTCAGCCGCGGGGGGCATTTTATCACAGCACCCTGCAGAAGAAGAAATTAATATATTTAATCTCTAGCACAACTTCCGCTGTTGGACAATTTGGGTTGATAACACCTGTTCATCAGTATTCAATTGTTAACTTTATCTGAACACTAGACATAAGCTCATCACAAAAAATATAATTAAATTGTTTCAAATCAGTGCTTTTCTTAATCTGCACTTCTATAGTTGGTCAATAGGTTTGGTGATTCCAGTCAATTCAATGATTACCTTGAGAACAATGCAAACTAAAGGTCATACATCACCTGATGGAGGGGGAATTGAGGGGCTACGTCAATCTCACAGCTCTGCTGTATATACCACGGAGTTGCTTCCCTGTGAACACAGAAATCCACGGCGGTCGAGTCAGTGGAAGATCTTGTCTCCCTCCCCGCACACACACACACATACACAAACACACACAATCACAACATCTTTGAGCATTCTGCATACTGAGCTCTGGGTTTGTTGTGCTTTGTTGCCCTCTGCATGTTATTATTTCCAGTACATATACCAAACATATTTATATAGCATATTCCATTTTGTGCCCTAACGTTGTAGAAGTCAAACTGGATTTCTGGATATGCAACACAGCATTGCAACACAGACTGTCAGTTTTTAAACTCTCATTCTGTGAATTGACATAGCTACAAGCCTTAAAACTTCGAAAAGGAGTGCTAGAAGTATGTGAAAGAAAACACCATGGTAACATCAATATTTGTTTTCACAGAGCTTGAAAAGCAGGGTTCACCGATTTATTTAAGTGTCCTTTGAGTTCCTTCATATTTCGCAGTTGAGCAGTGAATAATTTAATTCAGAAATAAATCATATGTACCGCATGACCCACAAATTGTGTAAAGACATCTATAATTTGGGGATATAAAAGTGTAGCCATCTGCTTCAAAATTACATTTCAATGACAATACTTATGTAGATCACATTTAAATTAAATTCCAAAGAAGCTCAAATGTTTAATTTAACTAATTGCAAGAGCGCACTTTACCTATTTACCCACACGAACAGCCACATTAATATTGTTACATTTACTGATGCACCAAGGTTTATTAAACGCATTGACCATTGTCTCTAAAATACCAAAGGATCAGAGGAAGAGGAGGAAGAGAAACACAGCAGCGAACGGACTTTGACAACAAAATGTGATGTGACGCAGCTCTGATTAAATGAGTTAAACGACATGAAAAGCTGCTCCACTCCGCTGGTCACTGGACGTTGTTGGTAAAAGAAAAGATTTTGTTGGACTCAAAATGGCCTCGTTGCATTAAAGATGATTTCAGGATACAAAAGACTTCGTACCATTTAAAGCTGCTTACATGAAAATATTTCTTAAACGCCGGCGGACTGTGAGGAATGAAACAACGTGATCCATCCTGAAGGAATGATTATCCTCCAGAGAGGGTTACTAGTGTTAGTTTACCTTTAAAGTATAAATCCTGCTGTAGTTCTCATTATAAAGAAGCGTGCGTGTCAGTTTACCTCAACAATGACCCTGACGTCTGACACTGTTTTATGAATGATCAAAGGAAACAAAGAATATGAGATATACGTTTATTATTTTAAGATAACAGACTCAGCTTCCAGAGTGTCATTATCCTACAGCTTGCTTGTCATGATGAAGACATCTCAAAGTTGGAATGAAAATTGTTCCTTAAATGCTAAGCAGCTCTGAATTCTTTAATCTCAATAATTTTGCACATAATCTGTTCCAAATTACAGAGATTAACAGGATTATATAGTGAGAAAAACGAATGGGTTGGATTTTACAACGGATGCGCAGTGATGACTGCCAATTTGTTTCAGAGTCTAACCAGCCATCTGATAGAGCCACTGCACCGCCTCCGCATCCTCAAACAGACTGCACATAATATGTGATCTCTCAGCAAGTCTCTGAAAAGTTTGTTCTTCCATTAAAACAACATGGTAAGGTTCTTTTCTGTTTTTTATCTGCATTTTCAGCATTAACATCTGGCTAAAGATATCCAGAGTTTAAGCGATATTGATTCAGGGTTTGTAACATAGGACTATTGATATTCATGATTATCCTATATGATTAATAACTGTCTACAAAACTGCAGTTATTAACTGTGATTTCTCCATTTATTAATTTGGAAATAGTTCAAAATAGAGGTTTAGGTTTGACTTAAGGTCAAATATAACAAACATAAAATGAACTATTCAAAAGGAGTTATGGGTCTAATTTAGTTTTTGATAACATTATAATTAACATGAACAATGGATTGAATATCCTAATATACGGTAATACAAGGTATAATAAACACCTTATCCTTTTCTAACAAAGCCATCCTGATAAATGGTTTGGGTTTGATTCTTCAGCAGTCTGGATGTGACTGGTTTATGAGACCTATGGTCAAATCTAAATCTTACCAACACACGAAAATAAATGAAACCCAAACAAAGTGGGGCTCAATCTACAAGTCTTTCTTATCAACTTTGTTATCACATTCACCTCTTTTGAAGCTTTTGAAATAAAACCATCTCTATCAACGTCCCCGGTAACAAACGGTGTTTCCCACTTTATTATTGGGGATTTCACCTTTTTTGATCTTCTCTACAAATACTCTGAGGTATTCACTCAGTTTGTATATGAACCAATTCATGACTATGTTGCCGTGATGCTTTCCCACCGGAGAGACGTTTCTGCTCCGACTGTCTCTCCTGTCACATCCATGCTGTCAGATCACTTCCATTTCAAACGTGAAGCGACACTAGCCGGTACTAACTGTTGACCACTGCTCAGTCGACTTCCAACTGTACTTGGTGAGCAATGGCCTGCTGTGCTGGATCCTTTCACTGCAACGGTGACTTAAAGATAGCCATTTCTAGTTATGGGCATTCAGTTCTGCTTCAGTTGCACATCTTTCTACTGTCAAAGCGATCTTCACCCTGGTTTGATGATCAAACACGTTTCCTTAAGGAGATTGCAACATAAATTACGTTTAAAATAAATTTGATGGCACAATTGTGTATTTAATTAAAATTGTACTCTGTATGTGGCTAAATTAGTGGCTAAATTAGTCTATTAATATCTAATCTGCAGTGCAATGTGCATAAATTGATTATTAGTTTATCTTCCTACATAATTTTAGACTTTCTTGGCCGTCCTGGGATCTCTCTCTCTCTCTCTCTCTCTCTCTCTGTCTCCCTCCCTCCCCCCTCTCTGCCTCTCCTGGCTGTGGTGACCTTTTCCAGATGTTTTGGATTTGGATCTTTGTCCTGCAGGAGATTACAGCCTCTCTGCTAGTCACTCTCTCTTCTTCTGCCGTGTGTACATGCCCTTGTCTCCTTCTCCTTCTCCTTCAGTATCAGTGATGTGCTTCAACGCGTGTGTGTTCTGTCCTCTCAAAAAAGGCAAACAAGAGGTTGTGTAGTTCACTTGCTATGCTCCAGTATGTTTACAATCTATTCATGGACTTGTTTGTCCAGATTGTCCATAATATCATTTTACTACGTGGGACGGTGTATATATTTTGCAGGTGACCCGTTTTAGTGCGCTCCCATTTTATGATATTGGACTATATAAAACAAATGGACTCGACTGCATAAAAAGAGCCACATTGCCACACCTGCAGTTATTACTATACAATATACCTGTGGCATTGGTTGTGACACATCGTGGAGGCTCAGTGCAGGATAGAACAGAGATGCGTCTAATAACTGGTGTACTGGTCGGCCGGGTGGCTACTGGGCTGCGGTACTGGGAGGGTTTAACGCAGACCTCTTGGCAGCATTGGCTGCATGCTAGTAGCATAGCAACAACTGCAAAAGAGCCTCAGGCTGAAAACAAGTCCCCATGGGGGTCTGAGCTCAAAATAATCAACTTCTTCGGTCCCCTGCCAGCCACTTTTTCCGACCCGGATGTTTTTTTGACGCCATCTTACTGTTGTTCTTAAACGTGGTTTGAGGGCTTTTGAATATGCTGGTTCAAATAAAATATTGACACATAGTAGTTTGTGGAGAGCATAACTTTTACGGTAGCTAGCCGGCTGGGTAGCTAGCTACTTAGTCTACGTTAGTTGAATGCGCGCGGTGGCGCCCCCTCTGGTTCTACGAGGTCTATAAAAGGACGTGACTGCTTCGTTAGTGGAGAAAATAACCCGCTTCGGCACAATTCTTTTGCCCCTTCTCACATAAACTGTTACCTTTAGAGACACGTGCAGTATTTCTGCATGAAACGCGGTAACAGTCGTGTCGCTTGCATGTTCGAGGAGGGACCGACTGATGATTCGCGTTAGCTCGTCTCACACGTTTGAAGTCACCAAACGTCGTTGTCCTTGTATCATAAACTGATCATTGAAAAACGGGCGGAGGCTCGATCGATTGTTTATCGATGAGGCTGGACTTAAGCGATGGTATAACGCGGATGCCGCAAAGGCTGCAATTGTGCAAACCTTGTGGAATTTCGGGTTGGCAAAAAACAAACAAAAAAAACCCATCAGAACTGGCGCTAATAACGGTCTGGTTACAGCGGACTGTCACGGGCTAATTAATTAATTAATCCATCTGTCGTCTTTGTTTGAAGTAACAGCCAAGGGCGAAACTCACCCGCGACCACAGTCGCCACCGGGCGTTATTCCTCTAAAGGCGGCCGATGTTATTCAGTGCTCCAGCCGGTCTCTGCCTGCTCCTCCATTGCGGTCATGGTGATGTCTGTCTCCCGTCTCTGGCTGGCGAGGCGGTGCTGCTGCTGCTGGTGGTGGTGGTGTTGTTGGTGATGGTGTGCTTTCACTGCGAACGGCGATGCTCGGCGTCACTCGCGGAGTGACTGAGCCACTGCTGATGCTCAGGGTCTCCCCCCCACTCTCTCTCGTTCTCTCTCGCTCATGAGATAATTTTGCAAAGGAGACACAGTTCCACGCCTTGTAGGCAGGACACTATGTAAATGTCCTCTAATGAGACAGACTCCTGATCTAATTTAGTTTGCATCCTCCTAAAACGCAGTAGGCTGTAGGCGAAGATGCGCAATGCTCCTGACTTATGAAGATGCAGCAGTTTGTGTGTCCATGTATTATATAAAAGGAACACTTTCCCCCGATTTATTTAAATTGTATTTTTCTTCCAAGTAGGTGTTGACCATTAAAATACAGATTATAAATAATTATAACGATGAAAAACATCATCATTTGGGGAAAAAACAAGTCATAAGCTAGATCCATACTGTTTTACTATTTCTATTTTAGAGATGTACCTATATTGAATGTCAGGGACAGAGGTATAATCAGCTTGTTGTGTCCGATAACATTATAATAACACTAACCGAAACCCTACAAAAGGAGTACTAGTTTATTTTCCTACCTTGGGCATTGTTCATTAACTTGCTTTAAGCACTTTGTTGAATAACAAATGATACAACTCCATCATAGTGACAGTACACTTGTGCGCTGCACTTTCACAGGCAAAAAAAGTGCTGCTATAATTATCCATGTAACAATGTTGTTGTCTACTGGTGAATTAAATACTGACCATGAGTCAAATGTTCCCAAACAAACTGGACCATTATTAGACAACCTGGATTTCCCCCCAAAATAACACTCAAATGTTCCATTTATATATGGCTATATAAAACATGTTTATGGTTATCAAGAATTACTATTACTGGATTCCGCTCCACACAGACAGCAAATGGCATTCACGGCACAATAGTTTTATTCAACACAGAAACCATGTGTACAAGTAGAATATCCTCAGCCTCAACTGAGCAGGTAACACAGGCTCGCCTCATGGGAGGGCTGCTGGTGACACTTGTAGGAGAAAAGCAGACAACTGCACTCAAATTCACTGAGGAAACTTTTGAAACTCAAGCAACAGCTATTTAGTTCCACATAACATCTCATGCATGACATTAAAAATAACATTTCTGACATAGTTTCATCAACAAATACGGACGTACCCAATCTCTATAATGTTCGACAGGCACAGACCAAAAGTCTGGAAAGCTCTGGAAAGTTAAAGTTTAGAATTGGCTTCAGATGTGTAGAAAAAAAAAAACATGACCTAAAATCAAGACCTTTTGGATGCATTTATGTACACATTCTGCAGTCAATAAGTGTTTCGTGTATACCAGTGACCTTAAACATCCACCATAAACATGTCTAGTATTTTAGAACTCTAAGATCAAACAGATTACAGACATGTGGCTGTTAAAATGTTTCTAGGGAAACCTCAGATGTAACAGCACAAAATCTTCCATACTTTTTCTGGCAGTTTATTACATTTTAAATTGTGGCATCATACAATAAAAAAAAATCTAAATGACTGACACAGAGCTGAATTGTGGCGCTAACAATATGTTATTTCATGATAATTTACCAATATGAACACTGCACTGTATCCGAAACCCACGAGGCATCAATGAAAAACAATCACAGCTGTTGAAGGTTTTTCAATACATGACCGAGTACACATGACGACAGAGTTTCACCAACACAAATGTTCGAGGAGTGACCACCAAAAAAAAGCTCAAAGCTCAAAGGTTCAGAAAACCCCCAAAGTTTCCCTACTACAACAAAAATCTGATGTAAACTGAAGACTTCTTAGAGGTAGGAAATGAGCATGGAATAAGGTTCCCAGGAAACAACATTTTCACATTAAAGCTTGCGCTAGTGAAATATCATTATTATGATAGGAATGCCTAGAGAGGTGCAGCAAAGCGCTGTAGCACCCTATTAATCCAGCAGCTTCACTGCACTGGTTAACTGCTGTGTGAGCAGTCACAATAACGACTAGCCAATGATTACAGACACCCAGCCTCAATGAATGTGCAACAAAGATGACAAGATGTCTTTTCACTTAATTTTTCTGTTAAAGTAATGTATTTAACAGGACTTTAATTTGATGCCATTGCATCACCTATGACAATTAGGGTTACCTTATATTATAGGGAATTAAAGGCCAAATGGGAGAGTCAATATCCTTCTAGTTCTAAACCATGATGGCTCACTTGAATTTTAGGTTTACTACAGGTTCACAGATTACATTTCAAATTGTTAAAACGATATATTTTTAAGACACATTAGCATCTCTGAGTGCAGCTGCTGAATAAATTCATAACATGTGTGAGAGAGCTATGACCGTCCAATCATCCAGCGTATGTCAGGCCTCATTGATGAGTGCGACCAATATCCGTTATACCAAATCCTCACAACACACAATGCCAAAGGTGCTGCAATGACTCAGATGTGGAGAACACAAGAGTGGCTTTATGAGAGATGAATTTTACAATGACCAGTCAGTTCTGTTGAGATCACAAGTTACAGGCAGTCAACATCGGTGTCAAGTCATTGAAACACAAGCTCCACAGTATGCGCAGTACATGCGCAATGAGACGTGTGTGTAATTATCCACAACACATTTAATTAAGTAATGGTCTAAAAATACTTTAATGTCAAAAGGAAACCTGCAAAGTTAGAAATGAACAGCTTAACCAACAAGTGGCGTTTCTGCTCAACGGCTATGCTCATAAGAGGATAACTGGAATTTGAGCTTACATGGTCAGGATGACCTGTATTCAAAAGTTTAAATTAAAAAAAATACCAGCCTGTTTTAAAATCAGGTAAATCCACTAGCAGATTAATAATTATCATTGTGATATTTTATTCAATGCTTCAGAATTGGACTTTGTCACTGATCTCTGGGATATTTTTTCTCAAAATATTCTCAACCCAATTAGATTAAGCAGTAATGTACAAAATAATGTGGTAAGTTAATATGTTGCATAATAAAGTATAATTACTTGTATAACAAAATCCTAAAATGATGTTGTAATGATGGAAATGAGTCGCAGAAAGGTCTTGAGCTGTTGAAGCTGAAGACTGAAAAAGTCATCCAATCAAAATTAGTGTCAACAGTCAGAAGTCGGAGCGACAACAACGTGAACACCAACCTAACCATTTTACAACTTGAAAAGGGGCAAATATTGATAAGCTTTATTTGTTTGGGACACAACGAATTCCACTTTTAACAATCCAGTTCTGCTCATAAAAACCGATACTGTTTACACATTTTAAACAAAACAGAAAAATGGAGAAAACAGCAAACAATACTACAAATGTAATTTACTGTAGGTCCAATTTATTACACCTTAGATCATTTATCTTAAATTGTACGTACTCAATCAGATTGGTGACAGTCAGCTGGTTGTTTGTTTATTTGAGTAAATTTGAGTTAAAGGCCTTAATGTGCAAAAGGTCCATTGGCAGAAAAAATGAATTTGATTGAACAAGCATTTTGCAATTGTTGTTCAGTAAATCATCCTGTATTTACAATAATATATATTTACAGTGTCATATATGCTCAGTCATGGATTGGTTTTACTTTGAATTGAGAACCATTATTATTGAACCTGCGCCGTATGCACAGTGGCTTATTTAACTTTAAGAGTACTGAACTCAGGAAGAAAGTTATGACCATATCTACACTGATTCATTTTTACTTCCTGATGAAAGGCCATTTACAATAAAATACATGACTGGAAGTCAGTATAGTTTTATATTTTGAAGAATATCCCTTTAACAATGAGCAGAACCTAACTTGGGCTTCATTTATGTTTTTTCATTGATTTTAGAATAAATATATTTTGATTGGATCGATGGGAAGCTCTTTCCATAAAAAGTGCCAGTAAAATGAACAGAGAAAGCGAGGGAGAGAAATGGGGGAAAGGCCAGAGTGGGGAAAAGGGTGAGGGGATGTATGGCTGAGAGGTCACTACCAGTCTGCATTATCCCAGGTTTCCTCAGCAGGTTTTGTGGGACTCTTCTTCGTCTTACCATCTGCGTTCTCCCAGTTGTTGTCCCAGGCTTCCCAGCTCTCCTCTGTGCTGTGTTTATTGTTGGACGCTGCTTCGGAGCCCCAATTGTCCCAACTGTCAGAGCTCTTCTTTGCAGAATTATCTGCGATGGTCCAGCTGTCACTGCTGGGTGACTTCTTGGCCTTCAAGGAGTTGCTGCTGCCAAAGGTTTCCCAGAAGTCCTTTGAGACCGGCTGGCTAGAACTTCCCTGATATCCCTCAGTGGGATCCATGTTCTGGTAGCTCTCTCCAGTAGACCTGCACACAGTCAAAAGACACTCTTATCTTGCCGTGCGTTAAATTCACACTGTGCAAAATATTTTGTATGTTGGAATATTTGAAGAATGAAGTTGTTATTATTACCCATCCTCTGGTTTTCCCGTGAACAGATTAGTCAACTTTGAACCAGCTCCCTGAACCTAAGGAACAGAACCCAACTTTTAAGATACTGTTACTTTAAGTGCTAAAACATTGAAGAAAAAAATGGAATTTTAATCAATCTGAAAATAAAATCCAATGGTAAACACTAATGGGGGTTAAAAGGATAATTATGAATAAATCAATAAACAACTACTAAAAATATTATTTTATTGCATTTATATTTTTAGCAAGTTAAGAGGCAGTAATACAAGAGAGAATAAAATGGTTTCTAGCACCATATATCAGGTTTGACCACTAAGTACTCACCACCAGAATAAAAATGGCGGCAAGAAAAAGAGATGACATTAAATTAGAATTGTTCAAACATTCATCATCACAGCGAAACCAGTCTCCTTTTATGTTATGCAGCTGGTATTATAAGTTATGAGTGATGGATCAGAGCAGCTGTTTCTGCCTCGGGAGACTGGTTTAGCATCTGTACAGCGTGGCAGAGGTCTGCCCAGCCTACCTTGGTTGCCAGCCCAGTGATGCCGACTGCCATTTCATCTAGAAATTTGCCATCTTTTACCTGAATGAGCCAAATCGTTATTAACAACTATTAAAAATAACAACATCCATCCACATATGTTGGTCTAAATTACATGTAATAAGCAGCAGTTTGTTTTTGATGGTGAGGAAAGGGTTGTCTTTTGTTAAGGGCCCTGACAGTCAACATGATAAAAACAACATTTTGTTGTTTTGTCTGATTCCAACAAAAGGTTAGTCTTCAAGTGTTCAACAGAAAGTAAAAGGAGCCATTACCGATCAGACACAGAGCAAGAAGTGTCACAAAAGCGCGTCCTATAGATACCTTAAATCACAGATGCAAACTGTACATAAGAAGACAAAAACATTTTTTTCCTAGTTTTTAAATAGTTTCTCAGTCACCATCTGTAAATCAAACCCACACAGGAACCATTACACAGAAGGGTGAAAGAGAACTTTCATTAAGCTTTACTTTTTACAAAATTAAGGCCGCATAAGATTTTTTCATAGTTTCTACTAGATGAATGGGTAATTATATTTGACATATAGATGTACATTATTTGTCACGGTGGGTTTGACCCGCATTTGAAACAGAATCATTTTAAATGTAGCATCTTATTATGCTAACATGCTCTATATGTTTCAGTGTTACGAAAACACATGTGACAAACATCTATATTAATTGCTATTTTAGTTTAAAAAAAGAAAAATGACATACAACATTCAATGACATGAGATCTGATATATACTTTGGTTCCTCCAAATGTTTAAATGTACTTTAAGCCTCCTCCCATGACCTAAAGTTCAATCTGACTCATATACGTTCTCAAATAAACATTTTGAAGCTGTGTACTTCTTCAAATGTCAATGCTGAGTCACTAACTAGAGAGATCAAAAGGTTGGATTTTTTTTGCAGCTTTGAAACTGCAGCTTTTGTCGTCTAATGTTAGCAGGCATAAAGCAGATAAACGGACAAGGACAAGCAGTGCAGAAAATAGCACATTCACATCTGAAGCTGTTTTTTTCCTCCTAAAGGACTCTATCCCACCACCAAATCTACAACTTCAAACATCAATGTTACCTTTTCTTGAGTGGGTTTGATAACATTCTCATTTAATGTCTGTCCTAATTCTGCAGCCTAGTTGGAAGTCAGAGAGGAGAATTCACTTGAATGAAACAGTTAAACATTCACAGTAGAACACTGAACTGCATGAAGTGACATTCGCATTCCCATTCACCGTGACACTGAGCAAGCACTTGAGCAGGGGTCTCAAACTCCGGCCCGCCGGGGCATCCGGTGCGGCCCGCCAGGGGGTACAGACTTTGGCGTACCCCCCCATCGACCGTACCGTTCACCACCGCGTCCCCTTGTCGACCGTAATGGTCTGGCCCACGTTCGGTCAAAGTGGGCTGCATCTGGCCCGCACCTGATTTGAGTTTGAGACCCCTGCACTAGAGGGTGTAATGTTTTTTAAAAAAACGTGTCAAGCTACCTTCTCTAATGAGGCAACACTGCATATGATTTATTTATGTATAGTTAAGTGATACCCGAGAATTCTAGAGGATTAAGTCTTTGTCTATATGCTTTTCTACTCTGCTTCTTAAGTTCTTCAAAGAAACTACGTATAGGATTCATGTTCTAACTTGCAGGGGTCTCTGAGGGCAATTCTGTCCTCCAATCGTGACCACGTATCTGGCCACTAAAAAGCACAGCCGACCAATCAGATAGCTGAATTGTGTGGACCCAGAATATATAAGGCCACACACACACATACGCTGTCTGCCTCTCTCTCTTCAGTGTACAGCAGTTACCTAATGACTGCTCATCCCCACTTCAAGAACTTTATCAGCGCCTGTCATGTCCCGGCCTCGTTGATGGAACGGATCCTCACAACGGCGGTTTAAAGTGCCTCAGCGCGGACCACACTGAGAGTGCTGCCACTAGCCGGCGCAATGCTCCACACGATTCAGTGCCGGCAGCAGAGGGGTCACATTTGGTGCTTCCATGTGGAGCCTTGCTGCGAGGAAATCAGGCTGGAACTCAATATCAACTCACAGCATGCAGGGTTGCACGGAGACACCTTGACCTGGCGCCTCCTCCTCCTACTTTAAATAGGAGCCTCCGGTTTGTCAGAGCACAAGAGCCCTCTACTACTGTTGCTACGTGATAAGGGGAAGCTTGAAAATTTTGACAAAATATGTCAACTGGGGACGAACTGGTGGCAGATTCTGACTTGTGGGGTTTGTTGGGTGTTTTGCAGGCCTAATACCAGCCTAATGGTGAAAAAACTTGACTTTTCTCTTCGCCTCAAACGCCCTAAACCCGCCGCATACTATCAGACGGTCACTTTGGGTCAATTCGCATGAATCGCGTCATTTGCACTGGATGCGACGGAGAGGGGGTGTGGTTTATCACCTCCCCCCAAGTGACGCCAAAGTTGAAAAATGCCAACTTTCACATTTGGTGTGTCGCAGTTTCATCGTGTCTGTGCATAGACTTTGTATTGAATTCTGTGCCGTGTTTGGTGTAAACACACCATAACAGTAAATAGTAAGTAAGCCTCTCCAGTTGATTCAGAATGCTGCAGCACGTGTATTAACAAGAACTAAGAAAAGGGATCATATCACTCCTGTATCAACTTCTCTGCACTGGCTCCCTGTTAAATCAAGAATAGATTTGAAAGTACTTCTCCTCACCCACAACCTTATTGCCCTACAAGGCAGCTGCACTCCATAGATGCTGGGTTACTTGTTGTTCCTATGGTTTTAAAAAGTAGGCTGGGGGCCAGAGCCTTCAGTTATCAAGCTCCTCTTTTGTGGAACCAGGTTCCACTTTCAGTCCGGGGGGCAGATTCGGTCAGCTCTTTTAAAGTAAAACTTAAAACGTTCCTCTTTGATTCTGCCTATAGTTAGGGCTGGCTCAGGTTAGCCCGGACCAGCCCTTAGTTAAGCTGCTATAGGCTTAGACTGCCGGGGGACTTCTTAGGACACACCGAGCTCCTCTCTCACGCTCTCGTTCTACCATAATTCACGTTTTATTAATGCACATGACTAATTCAGCTTCTTTCCGGGAGTTTTTTTGTGCTTTCTCCCCTATCAGGTCTCCGTAGATCGTAGTTCCTTCTGGACCCTGGTCCTGACACCTGCCGTGGCCCTGCTGACGCCTGCTGCTGCCATCATCATCATCATTATTATTTTAGATATTAATCATATTACTGTACTCGTAAACCAACATTACCCTCTCCTAAAGTCTCTGTGCTCTCCCTCCCCACAGGCTTCTGTAGATGGTGGTTCTCTCTGATGGTGGTTGCCCCTGCAGTGGTCCTGCTGTGCGCCTGGCTTACTACTCACAATTACTTGAATAATTTCTGTCATAGGAATTGCATGTATTATACATTGTTCATTCTGTACACATGCCATTTATTGTAGTCTGTCCATCCCGGGAGTGGGATCCCTCCTCTGACGTTCTCCCTAAGGTTTCTTCCCTTTTTTCCCCTCTTGGAAGGGTTTTTTCATTTTTTGGGGAGTTTTTCCTGTGCTGATGGTGGGTTTCGGGACAGAGGATGTTGTATGTGTACAGACTGTAAAGCCCTTTGAGGCAAATTTGTAATTTGCGATTTTGGGCTATACAAAATAAAATGAATTGAATAACGCCACGCCCAAAAATCTCAGAATAAGATTTTGGACCGAAATACCGGCCAAACAAATAATAGGAATCAGGGAGAGGCAACGGCCACATGATGTCTCCAGAGGTGCTGGCCATGTGTGGCCACGGCTCTATCCAGTTAAGTTGTGTTCTACCTGGGCAGGCGTAGGTTATCAACAGGATTAGGCGTGGCTGTCAGTTAGAACACGATATTGTAACCCTAGTTCTATAAGCGTGCGGGCAGATGCCAATAGTAAGGGGGCCTGGAGGCTGCTAAGCAACTAACTGAAAAGTGTTGGGTGTCAGAGAGACGGTGTTTGTGTGTGCTGCCTGATATACTCTGGGTTGTGCACATATTCAAGTAGACATGTCTTGGTTGTATGGCTACGACTTAAGTCTCCAGTAGATGGCTTCATCTATGCAGGAAATACGATTACAATAGAGCTTCAACTTTTCCATAATGATTTTTTGTTGCCTTTTGTATAGAAAATAACCAATTAAAAATGTTGCTCTGCATTGATCAGAATTAATTCTAAACTTAATTTTTTTACATACCATTACACTTTTACGGTACGGTTAGCAGTCAACACAAAAACTGTCATGCATGAATGGATAAGCAACTATCTGGGGGGGGGGGGGGGGGGGGGGTATTTCATGGAACAACATTTGTATATTTGGGAGGAGGACTTAAAACCACAATACAGTTACAAACTGTCTCCCACAGGTTACCAATGAACGTAAAGTATAGGCCCCAGTAAAACGTTATACAAGCAGAAGCACATGAAGATGGCGTTCACCATTTTGCAAAGATATGTTTGTGCTGTGAAATGAAAGTCCAAAGCACAGAAAAGCTAACAAAAATCAAAATAAAATCTTATAAAAACATGATGCAGAAAGCGCCATGCTCCTATTATCTGCTTTACCGGTTCTGGGGGAGCGTTATAGCCCTTTAACTACGTCCAGAGAAGGCACAGAGATTATAAAGGTAGTCACAGTTATTGCAGCTTGAAATTTACATTATATGGCAAGAGAGTTTCCAAGCAGACTAGCACACATTTTTTAAACACCATGGGTCTTGGGGATCTATTCTACAAAACCAAGCTGTCAGAGGGAAACTATGAATGTAATCTTGACTGACAAAAAGGAGTAGTACTGGTAACAGGTAACCCATAACTAAATCAGTCTTACCTTCAAGGTTGCTTGGTTGGCAAGTTTAGATGTCTATATTGGAGGAAAAATACAAAAACAAGTGAGGCATCTCTCAGATTTAAATATTTTCAATGCTGCAAAATCTAAATAAAATTTGACACAGAACAAAACCAATAAGCAATGAATATACCTACATTATCTTTAGCAATAGAAGCAAACTTGCTAGCTCCGACAGCAAAATTGCTCCAGCCCTGCAAGAAAAAGAAAAAGATTTCCTCCTGTGAAATTGCCAAAGGGGGAGAAAAATACAATAAAAAGTATAGCTCGGATAAGAGATATTTACTGTGACCTACTGAATAAATAGAAGTCATGGCATTGTTGATGAAGTCATCCTCTTTCTTCTCTGGGGTCACGGTGTTGCCAAAGCCAACATACCGATTCTCTTGATTCCCACTATAGCCCCCTCCACTAACGAGGCATAAAGAAATAAAACTCAATTCAAAGAAACCCGAAGACAATCGCACTATAAAAGAAATGTAAAGAACATTAGGCTTTCACCTCTGATATGAGTTAACGTCATCACTCAACCAGTCTTCAAAAGCCTTGTCACCAGGTTTTGCTGAGCTTTGGCCAGGTCCTCCAGAGCTGTTTGACAGAAGCACAAATTCACTGCTTTAAAACCGGTCCTGTAGTCCGCCATTGCCCGTAGTGTGAGTTTGTTAAAAATCCCTTTTACCGATGGGAGGCCGACAGGTTGGTCTTGGGTTGAGGGGATGTCCAGTTTTTGGCAGTGGATGTCTCAATGGACCACTCCTTACCCTCTGCTAAAGTTGCAACCTGTTATATACAAAAAAGGATCCATTAATATGATTGTAATAAGACACTTAAACAACTTAGCTATCTCAAAGGAGCCTCTGGAAAAACTAGATAATTCTGCCATAACAGCGTTCACTATAAAGATAACTAGCTTATCTGGTATACACACTGGCAAATAGGAGTTTAAAGTCTAGTTCCTGCTTTAAGCATTTTACTACTCGATCTGTTTTTGTTTATGGACATACGGATTACTGATAAACAAATGACATGCTTAATATCCTGAATGGGAAATGTGCAAGAAATTAATCAAAGATTTATATGGCTGCACACCTCACCTTGTCTCTAAAGAGTGCAGCAGCTTTGCTGTTGTATTTCTCCTGTAACGTCCAGGTGGGATCATAATCATGTTGGAGTTCAAGAAATAGACGAAATGCTCCATTTCCTCCCGCTTTCATCTTCTCAAGCTCGAGATCTTTCCACTTGTCCATGGTGACAGAGCGCACAAAACTGCAACGGCAGAAAAACGTTACTCATTATCAGGAAATCCAAGATCTCAAAAATCCTCACCGCTATAATACATTGCAGTATTCTTACCTGAGATGGACTCCCAGGCCTCTGTGCTTGCCAGAGCACTCAAGACAAATCCAGATACCATAGGTCACACTAACCCATTGAGGGTTAAAAGCACCACATTCAAAACATAGCTGAAAAACAATTGAACAATTAATACATATACACATTTCTTATGGAACAACTACAGGGAGGGATTGACAGACTTCTGTACATTGAAGATTATATGTAGCCTGATTCTGTATCCGTAAGAAAACTATACATAGTACGAAATACGTTAATCAACCCCATGTGTTAACATTGAACATAATAATTTTACAGTGAAGTGAATGTTCAGTAAATAGAACAACACTACATGTATTCATGTTGGGCTTTTACTTTTAGTTTAGGAAGCATATCTGTCCAATACTCTCACTAAAGATGAAGGCCAACAAGACGTTCACCGGCAGTGAGATTTGGACCCAAAATGACTATTTAATCACTATTTATTTGTATCATTGATGAAAGCAGGGGAACTTGTGATTGGTTGGGAAATTGTGCTACTTGAGCATCCCAAACACCTGCTACCAACAGCTATGTGAGATATAAGGGTTCTGTGGGGTGACAAAGAAGAAAAGGTTAGCCATATGAATACGCTGCTGTAAAGGCTTACATTATTCTCGTCTTGGGTTCTCACTTCCTTCAGAACTCTCCTGGTCCTTGGACTCGCCATATTGACCCACACTGAAAGACAATGGTAGAGGAGAAGTTCCCAGAGCATAGTTTGACATTGTCCATGTTCAAAAGATAAATACTATACTACTTTAGATCAGCTACTTCCATAAAGAATTGTCTATTATTGGATGAATGATATAATTTATATTTTAAGCACTATTTGGCGCAATGAAATTGTACATTGCTAATGTAGTCTCTTTAACATTTAAATATTTTCAAATAATATTATATATAATATTATATTATAATATAGTTCACCAATGACTGTCATCACAAAGACCTAAATTAAAGATGATGAATAATGAAGCAAGTACCAGGATACTATGAAAACAGATTGCGTACCAATACATTCACTCAATAAAGAGCTGTAATCCCTAAACAGCCATGATATTTGTTTTTCTCTTTCATCAACCAAATTCCAGAAACGGAACAATATACAGCGCAACGTGTGTTTTAAGGTGGATTGGAACTGTGAGATTCTCAGACAGGTGCAATGTTTTCACAGAGAGGCTCATAAATCCATGCTGACAGGTGAATTTGAGCCAGCAAGAAAACTCGCAGTCGACTGATAAGTGTACATTCCTCAAACCAGCATCGCTCCATTAGGAGACACCATTCAATAGGATGAAATGTGTCAGGTCTTAGTCAAGCTTTGATACTTTGGGAGATTTATAGGAGTAAATTGATAAGACATATGGATAGACTTTATGGATATTTTCTAGGAACAGTCAGTTTTCATTTGTCCACAATAGCGATGCTGCTAATCTGCTTTTTAGTGAGACACTTGAAGCAAGGCCTAAATGCAAATAACAGTAATTACAACACAGAAGTCAGGGTGACGTCCGTCTCTTACTGGAATGAAATCACAAACGTTGAAACTATTCGTGGTTTGCTGACAGAAATGCAGTCGTGTCACCGCTCAACAATAACAAATACAGACGTTACAGAAGGTTTATATCGGGTTCTGTGTCCATTTAACGGCATACTAGCAAAGCGTTAAGACGCTGATTTTACGTTGAACCTGTATCATTAAAAACGTATTTGCACGTGGACATTTCACTTAATAATTAAAATGGTAAGTGAATTGATGTGCTACTGACAATGCTAACGTTAGCTGCCGAACCGAGCTAACGTTAATTGAATCGTTACCTGTCTGTGATTGATGAACAACGACGACGCTGTTTTCAGAAGGTCTGCTCTAAGAAATACTCTAACAAGGCTTTTCTTCTGTGGCGGAGGCACAGAAAATTCAGTCACAGACGGTGTCAGGTCAACAGAAGTTTGTTGTAACGACGGGCTTCTGATGTTAAATACCGGTAGCCATGTTCCTGTTTGCATACGTTGGCAGTGCGGTGCATCATGGGAGTCCAGCTTCCTCTTCTTCGTCTTTGTTTACATGTATCTTCCTCACTCTCTTTGCTCTCTGCCGCCTCGGCTGCGTCGGAGCGTATAACTCAGTGGTTCTAAAACTGTGGGGCACATCCTCCTTTGTTCAGAATATTTGAAGAATAGGGGGCGCTGCAGATAATCGTTCAAAATGTGCATTTTTAAAATTGCATTTTGCCGTAAGGAATTCTAAACTATGTGTGTAGGGAGCATTTTCAAAAAAACACCATTCACCATGAAAATTTAAGTTGTTTTAACTCGACCATACTTTTCTAATCTGCTCCATATTTCTCATATAGCATGAACTTCCCCCCCTGTAGACATCTATATGATCATTTTTAACCTTAGTCATAGCGCCACCTGGTGGCAACAGGAAGTTGAATGTTTTTTAAATTACACGGTGCTGCTCACAGGTTATGCTCCTCAAAGGTTAATCTGATCCCTCTCAAAAGCTCTTAGCAGAGAGTTAAAACCTTGATGATGTTTCACTGAATATTATAAGAATCCGATAATCTGTGGCAAGAGGGTACATCGGGAAAGTTGATTCTTTGCCAAGAACAACTAAACCGTTGTAACTACTCCACATTATCGAATTCTTTCCAATTTACACATGTTTGATGAGACTCTGGGCCTGAAGAAAAGTAAAGTTGAAGTCATAGCACCACCTACTGGTAACAGGAAGTATCTCTAGTATCCAGTAAACAACAGAGGTGGCATTTCGAGAGGCTTGAAGGAAGTTGGCTCATGTACGGTATTTTGAGAGGCTTTGATTTTGAAATGGTACATCACAATGTGTCACTGAGTCACACCATGGGGATGTGTACTCACTGCCTTAAGTGGAATTACTGTGATTGACTTTGTTTGTTTTTGTCTGATGGAGCAGTCTGGAAAAATCTATAAAAGTGACTTAAATTTTTTTATTATATTATGAATAAAAGCACACATGGAGTCACAAAATGTTATTTCAATAAAAAATTCAGCATGGACCATTTTGTTACATTTTTCTTGGGGCAGTGGGGCCCGAACATTTTCTTCCTCCAAAGTGGGGCCCGACAGAAAAAGTTTGAGAACCACTGGTTTAATCTAATGTGCACGAAAACCGGACGAAAAATAAATTTGGCCACATCACATTAAGACTCTGCTCTATCGTTTGGTGGAGTACAATTTGACACGTTATATATTATTGAAAAATGTATTGACCCTAGCTTAACCTTATTAACTTATTCTATGAGTATTAGCTGTTGTAAAAAAGATAAGATAATACAGCATAATAAAAAAAAGAGGACACTGAAACCAAAGCAACTAAACTGAATTCAGCAACTGTAGGAAGAAGCAGGTGTAAAAAGTTCTCAGATGACGCTGCCTTGGTTGGTCTACTAATCGAGGCAATGACCTGGCCTATAAACGGGAAGTTGTCAGCTTGTGTAGTGAAAATTAATTCTACGAATAACAAAAACAGGATCAATGAGCTGATCAGAAGGGCTGGTTCAGTCATTGACCTTCCACTCACTAAAGGTCAAAGAGAACAAGGGCCAAGTTAAAAACAATCTTTTCCTTTGAAGGCCATCCACTACACAGTGTTTTTAATGGACTCAGAAGTTAGTTCAGCGTGTGACTCAGGAAGTCTTTTATTTCAGTGGCAGTTCGATTTTTTGAATGAACACCTTTAGGTTTAGCATCTTTCTGATGTTGATTATGTTTTATAAGGCATCTTCTGGTCTGGTTTATTCCTTGTAACGTGTTTCTTGTCTGTTGTGCTCTGTGAACTGTGTCTATTGTTTTTTTGTATGAGTCTGTACAAATGTTTTGGTGGCAAATGAGTTTCCCCAAGGGTATTAATAAAGTTTTCTAATCAAGTCTTATTAATAATTACATTATTGCCAGCTGATTAGCCTTAAAGCATTTTGAATTACTTCAAAATTTCAAACTTCACAAAACAAACACACTTGCATCTCCTGTATATTTACACAGCCAATAGTGAAGTAAAACTAATGAAAAGGTGAAACAATGTTAAATTAAAGGTTTTACCTGAATACATTCATCTAATCAATATTGAAAATAACAAAAATGGAGCATCTGGGTTTGATAATAAGCAAGTTACGATGTCCATCCAAGCAACAAGCAGTTTCACTGACTTTTTCTCAATTTAGAATGCCACCCAATTTGAAAAATGGGGAAAACCAATTAAATCTTAATTTCATATGTGTGATCACCTAGATTCATAATAAATGAATGGATAACGTTAATGGAATTGATGTTGACTGTTGAGATCAAATTGGCTGCCATGACATTACAATACTTTATAAACTTTATAAAAAGTGATATATTTATACTCTATATACAATACAGGGAATTCCTACAACTACAACTATCAAAAAAACTTAAAGCTGAACTGAGCTGTGAATATTAAGGAAAATAATTTTTTATTAATTAGCCATTGAAAGGGTCTCTGACCTCAACGGTTTGAGTGCCATGATCCAAAGTCCTACTTTAATACTGTCCCAGCTTTATGGCAATTAATCATTTATTGCCTTTTGTGTCATAAAACCAGCTCCTGAAAGAAGTTTATTAGTCCAGATTTACTCATAGGCACTTCATTTTTATAATCTATCGGTAGATGTCCGCTACACTAAATTTGTCATCAGGATTGACCTTTTACTCATCAGACCCATTGTTGTAAATCTTAAGCAAAAGTATTTATGTTTATAGCTATTTTTAAGTGCATTAATATAATTTCAGTGATGTATCATCCACCAATAATAGTGTTGTAGGCATTTCAAATGAAATCGATGAAAAACTATTGGGAATAAAACTACAATTCAACAACATGTTGTAGTTCTATATATCGGTACCCCTCATTTGCATTTTTTTGTCAAATTCATCTGTTTTACAGCAACCGTAGTCATCTTTTATTTACCCTAAATTATGGTCTTGAAACCTGCTTTCAAAGATTTAACTTTGAACATGATGTGATTGATGTGTATAACAGGAAGGATTAAAGTACAGTCCACACTGATTGGAGTTGTCCTAATCCAATGCCAGTAGCTGCTCTTATCTGATGAAATAGTGGTATAAAGGTTTGTTTCCTTCTGGTGGGAGAGCAACGTTGAGCAGTACCATCATGCGTGGGTCTACAAGTCTGCAGGTGCGCCTGCCGGCGTTGGTGCTAGTGTCAGAGGTTGTTATGATAGTTCTTTATGCTGTTTTTGTCACTTATGATGATAACGCCAATGCAAAGATGCAAAACAATGCAACCAACCCGATGGAGAACTCCCTTTATCGAGACTACCCCTACTTCGCCGACGTGCAGGTGATGATCTTCGTAGGCTTCGGGTGCCTGCTGGCCTTCTTTCGATTCTATGGCTTCAGTGGAATGGTCTTCAACTTTCTGACGGCTACATTTGCGATCCAGTGGGCGATCCTGGTGCAGGGTTTCTTCCAGTTTTACTATGCTGGTAAAATTCACCTGGGAGTGGTCAACCTGCTGAATGCAGAGTTTGCCTGCGCTGTGGTGCTCATCTCTTTTGGAGCGGTTCTCGGTAAGACCAGTCCTGTTCAGCTGCTGGTCATGGCATTACTGGAGATTCCTCTCTTTTCTGTGACAGAGTGGGTTGTATTGAAATACATAAGAATCACGGATGCAGGTGGAAGTATTCTTATCCACCTGTTTGCCTGCTACTTTGGTCTAGGGGTGACGTTTATGCTGTACCGCCCAAGCCTAAATAAGGGACACTCTAAAGAGATGACTAGTTATCAATCTGACATCCTTTCTCTAATGGGAACCTTGTTTCTCTGGGTGTTCTGGCCTTCATTTAACTCTGCTCTGACCTCAAAGGGCGACGATCAACACAGAGCGGTTCTCCACACTTTTTTAGGTCTAAGCTCGTCCACCATCACTGCGTTTGCACTATCAGCAGTGTTCAACAAGAGAGGCAAGCTCACAATGGCTGATATTCAGAACGTGACTCTGGCAGGTGGCGTGACTGTTGGGGCTTCTGTGGACATGATGATTTCCCCTGTCGCCGCGTACGCCCTAGGCATCATGGGCTGCACTGCCTGTTTCTTTGGATACAAGTACCTGACCCCATTTCTGGCCAACCACATGAGGATCCAAGACCAGTGTGGCATTCACAACCTGCACGGACTCACTGGCCTTATATCATCCCTAGCCGGGATCTGTGCCATCCTCCTGGCCACTGAGGAAACCTACGGGCCCAGCATGTACCAGATCTTTTCCCACCGTGCTCCACCTGAGGGAGATCCAAAGCTCCAGGAACTGCAGAGGCTGATTCCCGGGTTGAAGCCAGGCTTGGGTCGTACTGGCCAGGAACAAGCTCTCTACCAGGTCGCCGCTATCTTCTCCACCGTCGCAGCCTCTGCAGTTGGTGGGCTGCTTACTGGTTGGGTCATGAAGCTGCCCTTCATGGCAGCACCATCTGATGAGGATTGCTTTGATGATGAGCTTTTCTTTGACGTGCCTTCTGACTTTGCCAGAGTTGAAGGGCTCAAGACCCCCACAAGCTTTGACGAAAAGATACAAATGAGCTCTATGAACACAACAGTCGAGACATAGAGGCAGTCATTAAAGGAAATTTTATTTCTGAAATCTAAACCTAAATATTAACCCTTCACTTGAAGCCGTTAACTGTTGCAGGAGGACAATTGTGTGTAAAATGGCAAAGGGTTAATGGATGAAATGTATTTGCTTTCACATAATATGTAATAACATTCCATTTGAAATATACATTTTTATAAATTGCTCTTTTTCCTTCATGTAACATTCTAAATCCATGATTGAATAAAGTCATCAACTGAATTTCCTTTTATCGATTTCTTAGTTGTTATAAGATCTTTATCATCTTGGGCTATACTAATAAAATGGAAGCGGAAGAAACTACATAACATCACATCTCAACAACAAAGCTGATGTGATGTTACTTTTATGTGGAAGCTGTAGACCTAATGAGAGCCAAAGTATGATGATCA